GAGCAAGAAGCCGTATATACTGCGGATCAAAGGAACACTCTCAAGGACTTACGAAAAAAGGACCAAAAGGCGCTGTATCTTCTATACCAGGGTTTGGAAGATTCAACGTTCGAAAAGGTTGCAGAAGCAACAACGAGCAAGCAAGTATGGGACACACTCAGTACAATCTACAAAGGAGTAGATCGGGTCAAGAAAGTGAGATTACAGTCACTTCGAGCAGATTTTGAAACTGCTCACATGAATGAAGGAGAGAGCATCTCCGACTATCACTCAAGGCTCATTGTGATAGTAAATCAGATGAGGAGAAATGGCGAGAGACTCGATGAAGTACGAGTTGTGGAGAAGATACTCCGGTCACTCACATCTAAGTTTGAGCATGTGGTGACTGCCATTGAGGAATCCAAGGATTTGGAGGTGATGAGCGCAGATGAGCTACTAGGATCCCTCCTAGTTCACAAGCAACGCATTCAAAAGAATGCAAACCCCACAACGCTAGAGCAAGCTTTGGAGTCAAAGTTGAATATTGACAAACCAAATGGAGGTCGTGGGCAGTGGAACTCACGTCGTGGGAGTTCATCTAACCGTAGCCGAGGACGAGCTCGAGGAAGAGGTCGAGGCTATGCACAAAATCTAGGTCAGTCTCAAGAGTGGAGATCTACTCGAGGAAAGGCGCATATCCAATGTCACAATTGCAAGCAATATGGACATTATGCCAATGAATGTTCACATAAAAATGGTGAGCATGTCAACATGGCAGAATCAAGTGGAAATACTGATGAAGAACTTACAGTCTTGCTAGCACACCATGATTCCAGTAGCCAACAAGATGTTTGGTATTTGGACTCTGGTGCAAGCAATCACATGTATGGAAAGAAGGAGTTTTTTGCCGAACTCAAAAATGGGGCCTATGGATCTGTAAGTCTTGGTGACTCCTCAAAGTTGCCAGTTGAAGCAAAGGGAAGATCAAGATCACCCAGAAGGATGGTAGAGAAGAATACATCTCTGATACCTACTACATACCAGGTATGAAGAGCAACATTCTGAGCATTGGTCAACTGCTCCAGAAAGGGTACATTATACATATGGAGAACATGCTTCTCACTCTCAGGAATGCAAGGAGAAAGCTCATTGCACGTGTTCGAATGTCAAAGAACCGGATGTTTCCGTTGAATTTAAACACAACTATTGGAAGCTGCAACATCGGTGTAATGGAAGATGAGTCATGGAAATGGCATCTTCGATTTGGCCATCTTCATTTCAATGGCCTAAAGTTGCTGTCAAGTGGAGGAATGGTTCGTGGTCTACCCCAAATTGAAGCCACACGCCAAGTATGTGAAGGTTGTGTGCTTGGCAAGCAAGCACGACTATCGTTCCCTGTTGGTGATACATGGAGAGCAAAAGCACCACTGCAGTTGGTGCACACAAATATATGTGGTCCATTGGATCCCATGTCTTATGGAGGTAATAGGTATTTTATTACCTTCATTGATGATTTCAGTAGAAAGACTTGGGTCTATTTTCTCAAGGAGAAGTCAGCTGCCCTAAAAATTTTCAAGGAGTTCAAGGCACTCACAGAGGCTGAAAGTAACCACAAGCTTGTGGCTGTGAGATCAGATAGAGGTGGAGAGTACACCTCCAATGCTTTCCAAGCATACTGCAAGGAGCAAGGAATTAGGCATCAACTTACTGATGCCTATACCCCACAGCAAAATGGGATAGCCGAAAGAAAAAATCGAACCATCCTTAACATGACAAGGTCCATGCTTAAGGAGAAGAATTTGCCAAAAGAGTTATGGGCAGAAGCTGTAGCTTGTTCGATTTATTTGTTGAATCGATGTCCAACAAAGAGTGTCAAGAGGATGACACCACAAGAGGCTTGGAGTGGATACAAGCCGAATGTTACACACCTAAGAATTTTTGGGTGTGTTGCATATGCTCAAGTTCCAGAAGCCAAGAGGAGGAAACTTGATGATAGAGGTGAGAAGTGTGTGTTTGTGGGCTATAGTGAAGAGTCCAAGGCGTACAAGCTCTACAACCCACTAACTGGCAAACTAGTGGTTAGTAGAGATGTCATCTTCAGTGAGGAAAAGGCATGGATGTGGAACAACAAAGAAGTCAGTAAAGAGAAGATCGTCTCCACTGATTTTGAAGAACCAGAAGTTGTACCACCTGTTGAGCAACAACCTGCTTAAACAATCACAACAACTCCAGTGCACTGAATTGCAAGGAGTGGTCCTACATCTAGTGAGGAAAGCAGCTCCTCAACTCCAGTGAGGTTAATGAGTCTCACAGAGATTTATGGACAAGAAGAAGAAGAAACCAATTTTTTCTGCTTCTATGCAGACCATGAGCCTCTCTCATTCAATGAAGCTGTGGAAGAAATTTGTTGGAAAAAAGCCATGGAAGAAGAGATCCATGCCATCGAGAAGAATGAGACTTGGGAGTTGACAAAGCTCCCATCAAATCTAAAGGCTATTGGTGTCAAGTGGGTTTACAAGATCAAACGCACTGCAGATGGGAGTGTGGATCGATACAAATCAAGGCTTGTAGCAAAGGGCTACAAACAGAAGTATGGAGTGGACTATGATGAAGTCTATGCTCCAGTTGCAAGACTTGACACGGTAAGATTGCTAATCTCTCTTGCCGCTCATCATAAATGGAAAATTTATCAATTAGATGTCAAGTTAGCCTTCCTTAATGGAGTTCTTGAGGAAGAAGTGTACGTGGAACAACCAGAAGGCTTCCAAGTACAGGGAAAAGAAGATAAGGTGTATCGTTTGAAGAAGGCTTTGTATGGCCTCAAGCAAGCACCACGAGCTTGGAACTCAAGGATTGACAACTACCTTCATCAAAATGGATTTCAGAAATGTCCATACGAGCATTCAGTTTACATGAAGAATGGTGCAAAAGGGGAGTTCTTAATTATTTGTCTCTATGTAGATGACTTGTTGTTTACAGGAAACAATGAAGCAATGTTCTGTGAGTTCAAGCAATCCATGTTCAGTGAATTCGAGATGACTGACAATGGATTAATGTCATACTTTCTTGGCATAGAAGTGAAGCAAGGAAGTGACGGTATCTACATCTCTCAACAAAAGTACATGAGAGATATATTGGAGAAATTCAATATGGACAAGTGCAATATTGTCAACACTCCAGTTGCAACTGGATTGAAGCTGTCCAAGGAAGGAGAAGGTGAGTTTGTAAACTCAACCGTGTACAAAAGCTTGGTTGGAAGCCTAAGGTACCTTACAATCACAAGACCTGATATAGTTTATGGTGTTGGACTCGTGAGTTGATACATGGAAACACCAAGGGAGTCTCATTGGCTGGCCGCCAAGAGAATTTTGAGGTACATAAGAGGTACTCTAAACTATGGTCTATTTTATAATTTTGGTGAAGATGCAAAATTATTTGGTTATTTAGATAGTGATTGGGGAGGTGACCAAGATGAAAGGAAAAGCACAACTGGCTATGTGTTTTTTCTAGGATCAACAGCTTTCTCATGGACTTCAAAAAAGCAATCAATTGTTGCTTTGTCATCGTGTGAAGCCGAGTACGTTGCTGTAGCCTCAACCGTGTGTGAGGCAATTTGGTTAAGAAATCTGTTGAAGTCAGTGTGTCATCCACAAGTGGAATCGACTGTGATTCGTGTGGATAACATCTCAGCTATCAAGCTTGCTAGGAATCCAGTCCAACATGGAAGGAGTAAGCACATTGATACCAGGTTCCATTTTCTAAGGGACCATGTGAAGCAAAAGACAATTGAGCTTGTCTATTGTCACACAAAGGAACAAGTGGCTGACATCTTCACTAAGCCACTACCAGTTGAATCATTCCGGTTATTGCGTGAAATGCTAGGCATGAAGGCGTTTTGATTTGAGGGGGCGTGTTGGAAATTCAAATAAAAACAGGTTGTAAAAGGTTGCTGCTAGTTGTTAGTTTCTTTACAGGTTGTATCCACACATGCTGCAACTACAAAGTCTAAAGTTTCCTCCATGTGCTAGCTGAAATGGTGATGAAAGACAGCAAGTGTGCTGCCATGTGATGTGCTAGCAGGAAGACAGCAGTGTTTCTCCATGTGTTAGCCGAAAGGAAGGTATTACAACCTGCCATGATGCAATGCATGTGTATGCCAACTATCAAAGTTGCTGCATGTGTTTGAAAGGGTGTAAAGATGTGGAACACCATCATTCATTATATGTATTGTTGGATTGTTTATTTTTTCTGTTTTTGTATAAATAGGCCATCTTGCTAAGCCTTAGATAATATCATCCAAATCCCATTTCCATTCTCATTTTCAGCTTGTAAGCTTTAAGAGTTGTAAACTCTTCTAATATTTCAAAGTGTTTGTTATCACCAAGCTTGCTACTTCTTTCATATATCAAAGTCCAAGTGTTTTACCAAAGCTTGTTGCTTCCCTCCTTTCTCTATTTCTTTGTCCAATTTTATTGAGAGTGAAAGTGAGAGGTGTGATAGAATTTGTAAACTTATCACCCACATATTTTGGTATTGAGTTAGTAAACTCTTGTGAATACCAACAAAGAAGTGGTGGCACTTTCTTAGAACTATAGACAACTTTTACGACTTATGATGTTATTCTATATTAGCAGTTGAGCACCATAACACCGGACGGTATCAAACTGTCATGTTTTCAATACTACATTGTCAAGTGTAAGTTTTTTCTTCATATAACAATGTATTATTAAATTAAGGAGTCACGTAGCAATAAACCCGTTTTTATACAAGTTATCCCAACAATTGGAAGCATAAGAGATTCACAAACTTAACAATGTATTATTAAATTAAGGAGTTACGAAATGTATCAGGATAACAATTAACAAAGTAAGCTTTTAATTGACTCTTAAACCTAAATTAACACTCGCAGATCGAACTAATAATGAAGGTTGGTGTTCGTGAGCTGGTTGATTCTCGCCTTAATATTGTTGATTTGTTAACATTTTATCAATTCAGAATTGTCATTATATACTTTAAAAAGGTTGAAAAAAATTAAAAAACTTGTAAATTATATGAATAATGAATTATTTTCTGGAAATTCCAAAATTACTTTGATTTGATCCAATCTAAATTTTTATTTAAAGAAGCCACCTAATCTGAAAAGTAGAAATCTTATTCATGGTGATCGGATAGTCTGAAAATCATCTTTAATCCGGCAGCTCCATTCCTGCACATAACTGCATTTCACTCGGAAAAAGAAACCGTCTCTTGAACAACATATTCCAATGTGAACGACCGCGTACAACTTGAAAGCTATCTTTTAGATTATCACACTCACATGGTAATGCTTCCGCACTCGAAATCTCTGCTCCCTTCAAAAGGTTCCCTGATCTGTTCAGTAGGAAAAATATGAGATGAAATATTGTGAGGAGCATATGTACCAACAAATTAAGCTTCATGTGAAACAACAAAGAAAATCAAGGTTAATTGCAGCACAAATAGCTTTAGATATTTAGGCTAACCACGAAAAGATTCATCACGTCAACTGTCAAGATATAGGTTGTGAGCTTACATAAAAAATTTGACTGACTCCATGTTTCACATTGCAAATTAGGGTGTTTTGCAGTACGCATTGGGTTCGGTATCTTGCAAGTTTTAGAAAAGAACCAAAACATACACTCTTTGAAAACAACACTGTCTCCAAACTCAACTAATCCATTATCCATTATTAAAATTAAGGGGGGAAAATATACCAATTCCCCCCCTGTATTTATCATTTGTTTTCAATTTGTCTGCTGAACTTTCTATCAAGTTTCAAGCCCTCCTATTCCTAATCCCTTAAAATGTGTGTAATTTCTCTCTTCTTAGGTCCGTCAACTTTTCCTTTAAATTTGGAGTATTTTTTGTTGAATTCAAACGAGATTTTCCCTTATCTATAATAATATCGGAAAAAGTATTTGCATCCCAAATTAATTCATATAAAAGCAAACCGATAGTGTTAACATGTTCAAGTATCCAAGTATATGGGTTCAGTTGCGAAAACGCTTTCTTAATGACAATGATAACAACCTTAAAAAGTACTAACATCACTGTGTATGTACTTATATAACATACAAGAAATATAAAAGCGAGGAGACAATCTACTTACAATGGAGTAGAGCCGGCAATATTCCTCTCGCCCAAACTGTAAAAAGGTATCAAGCAAGCACGTTGGGTGAAGAAAGGAAAGTCATAACCAGGTTTTGGGCCATCTTCACCTTTGACTGTTGAACAGTTTACATTTCTGGCTTTCAAAGTCCCAGCTAAAGATCAAATCTAAAGTGCCAAAGAAGATGACATGAGCATTCAGACTTATTGCATAGGGTTTAAACACCATATCTGCACCAGGTATAAACATTGTATCCGCCCCCCCATACCAAACTATTCCTAACAACACTATATTTGAGAGTCCATTGGTCACCAGATTCACGTCGATCATTATAAGACCAAAAACAAAAAGTATTTGAACCATCACATGTTACATAACAAACAAGATCCTTTGACACCCCAAGACATCCCATTGTTGCACCTGTCTTATCATCGTCCCCAAGAACATGAGGGCGTTCAAAGGCTCGAGCTTTAATGGTATTGAGGTCAATACACAAAACTTTCTGTGAACTAGCAAGGCCATATAACACCCCCTGCAAGTATACAAAATGCCTGTAAACCTTGGAACTTTTAAACCCATCAGTGAACATAGGGTTGAATTGTAACCCACGACGAACACACTGACTTAGAACTACTTTACTGGGTTTTAGAATGCCATCATTCCAGAATTTGGTCCAGTAGTTATAATTATGGTGCAAACGTACGTAATTGAGTTGAAGATACGTATCATCGTTAGCCGGCCACAGAGTGCGGTGGTAAAGACCTATACAAGAGACTGCGACCGAAATCTCTGCAACCAACATCAGAGATTATTCAATGCCATGACTTGGCAACTGTCTTGCATTTCGTAGTGTCTATATACAAATATGGTTCCCAGCTGTCTAAGCAAAAAGCTAACCTGTCTGTATACGGATAAGATAGTGTTTTCAGGCCATAATGGCTCATTATGAACTGCACTTGAACATTATTCGCGATCAGAACAAATATGATTCCCAGCTCTTTCCAGACCACTTATGTATCTCAAAATTATATCCCGCAAATATACGTGAGCAAATGATTTCAAACAATTCACTCCACTTATAACACTAGAAAATGTACACAACTATAATATATAAAAACAAATAGATATCATGATAGTGCTACAAATGCTTTGAGGTAGCTTTCCATGAGCAAAACAATGAAGAACTAAGTAATAAAATCCTCTTTCACAACCTCCCAACATTTAGGGAGAAAGAGAGCCTAGTTATTCTTACCAATGGATGGCATTGGCCCTGGCTCAATAGAACAATTGGCATGTCTTGCTCGATGCTGGCTCATTCGGTCCCCAAGGGCATGAATTCAATTGGACTGACCCTTTTTCCGGCCTGATTTTATCATCACATCGGATAAGATATCTGGACCCAACTGGATTTGGCTGCCTTCTGATTAAGAAATCAGTAATCAGATGCCTCGCCTCCAAAATCAGTCGGGGTCAACTGGGTCTGAATGGTGAAGATTATCCCTGAATACCCTTTATATCATCGCCAATGGGTCAGTGTTGAATTCTACAACAAATGGGCTTTTTGTCACAAAACTTCAACTTCCACTTCTCAGCATCAGAAGCTAGAAAATGGATCAACCGCTGAAAGTTGCACATAGATTACAGGTTGCGCCATAGGAAGAGAAACCGAAGGGGTGATTTAGGGAGAAGGGAAGGGAGTAAAAATGGAGGAAATGAACTAAATTAGGTTAGATCATTTGTGTATAAATACCTACAGTGATTGAAAGGGGATTAAAAACTTGAATACAAAACCAATAACTTCTGTCCCTGATTCGATCCTGGTTGGAAACTGAAGGATGTGTTGATTGTAAAATGATATCAAACCATTAAATGACAGAATGGAGACACTATTAAACGACCATCCATAATAGCAGTACTGCTAAATGAATCTTCGTAATGGATGGCTCATCATAAAGAAGTGCACTTAAACATCATTTGCAATCGCGATCACTCTTATATCACAAAATAATAATCCTGCAGATGTAACTAAGTAAATCATTTCAGGTAATTCGCTCCACTTATAACTTCAGAAAATTTACACACACACTGCACACACACATATATATATGAAAACAAAGTGATGATAATGTCAATCTCCAAAACATCAAGAGTGGCACTGGAAAACAAAAAGGCTTGAACTTAGAAGAGGGTAATCAAACTAATTAGCAAAAGGCTGTAATCTGAATTTCTTTCCCTATCCAAACGCTTCATAACAACACCTATATAGCACCCCAGAATTCTCAGAATTATTAGAAAGAAAAAAAAAATACACCAATCTCACATACAAGTTTCCAACAACCAATAACCGTGATAAACCAATTAATTACGTAAATAAAAAAAATATGAGAGATATTACCAATTAATATAGGAATTACCAAACCATGAGAATTAAGTCGTTCTCAAATCTATTGGTACAGTCGGCTTGGCTTCCATGTGAAATGGGGATGGGAACCCAGCGAAGGAAGAAGTTATGAAGAGAATGGAGCTTGTTAAAGTACCATTTTACCCCTACTCAATCATAGCACAGGATAGGGTCATTTAGATTACTATCAGACTGTAATCGCCCGAACAACGCGGTATCTCATACTTCAAAGTCCAAATATAAGAGGAACTTTGGAATCTTTTATTTTGGTATGAAATAAGACCGCTCTTATTTAGAAAGATTATTCAATATGACTGGAACACAAGATGATACATAACGTGTCATTATACAAATGGTAATAAATTAAAAAAGTAAAATTTCTCACAACTTATATCAAAACAGGTGGTGTACCACTCGTATTCCAGTTACAATAAAAATTTTCTCCTTATTTTAGAAGCTCTAACGACAAAAATAATTCTTCTACAAATTGTAGGGTAACATGAGAATTTTCGTCGGCTAAAACTGACGCCATTAATTGGTTCGGCATGAGTGTTCAATCGATAAATTAAAAATTTTGTCGGGAGAGGAGTCTTGTGCCAACAAAATTTGGCTTTGTCAGCTTAGAATTTGTCGACAAAATAAATTTTTCTAGCAGTGGGGGGTTTAATTCTGTGCTGGAAGTGCTAATAAATGTGCTAAATGTTTCGAGACAATTCAAGGGGAAGGGTTTTTTGTGCTTTCATGGGCGCATACTGTTGCTCCAATAGTGTGGAAGGAGTTCGGGAAGCTGAAATGCACAGGAAGGAAAAGAAGAGTCTGCAGAATGACTTTCTGTTTGCTGGCCTGGGGATAGCATTTTGATCTTGTGCTGCAAAACAATGCCCTTCTCCCGTCAACACGATGGCTTTAGTGTATGTGATAGCACTGGCAACATGTAATCAGTTGAAATTCAGTGGAACTTAAAAGAGGCATCAATCTGAAATGAATGCTTGGATAAAAAGCTACACAATGCAAGGGCCAGACCAGGTATTCAGAGGTGCTTGTAAACCAAGTTAACTGCATCAGCGTGGACGTTATGCTGATTAAATCGGATGGCAAAGCAGCGATCTTTGATTTCACACGCTTTGGAGTTCCCTTGATGGAACTGCAACTCTGCCGAGTTTCATTTTTCTTTTCTGCTTGTCAATTGTCATGCTACATTGGTTGCTTTTCAATATTGTTCTCTCTGCTGGAAGACTGCAAGTGCTCCTAATAAAGGACTTAAAACTATTACCTATTAATGATGCAACTGTTTGACTGACTCCATATTTTACATTGGAAATTGGGGTGTTTTAAGTACCCATTGGGTTCACTGTGGATAATTGCGAGTCTAGGCATTGTGTGTCTTGATCTCCGGCGAATACAAGGGGTGCGGGTTCATGCTGGGTGGCTGGTGCTCCGCCGGCGGAACAGGATGTCGGTGGCTGCTAGGTTTTCTGTGGGTTTGTTGCTTTGGGCTCCAATCCTGGTGATGTACTGGCCTATTTTCTTCAATTGTTTTGGAGGTCCATATTTTGCTTTCTACTTAGAATTAAAGAAAGAGTTCGTCCCTAGATGTATAAAGGTAAATGTCAACCCAAATTACACGTGACAATCTTTTTTCATGTCATAAATTTATCATATGCCAATTGTTTATTATATGAGCCGTGTACTTTCTAAATACGTGACAAACATGTATTGAAAATTAACACAACTAAAACTAAAATTTGGTTGTATGAGGAATCTCTTGCCAACTGAGATAAGACAAAGTTGAAAAACGAAACTTGAAAACTCCCAAAAAATTAAGTGACAAATTTGTAATTTACTCACTAAGGCCTTCTACAATAGACCAGAAAATTGAGTATGATGCCAATAATATATGAATCAAACTCCATTTAGGCCTGAAATCTTAGTGCAATGAGAGTGATTCTTCTTTTTAATACAAAATATTGAACTAATGAAGGTGATGACAATATAATAAATGACAAGAGAAAAAAAAGAGATCTAATTAATCATAAAATAGAGAAAAAAATGGATGAATTCCACATTTAATATATAAAACTTAGGCATATCAAACTCACACTAATGTATAACATATGTTTTAGAGTAAAGTACAAATAACTACCTCAACTATTGGGATCACGACAATTTCATACCTCATCTTTTAGAATTGACAATGTCATACCGCATCTTACGAATTTGTGACAATGTCATACCTCCGTCAATTTTTCTGTTAAATGCTGACGTGGTAAGAGACGGGGACCATTTTCTATTAAAAAATTAATAAAATATTATTAAAAACTAAAAAAAATATTTAATATTTTTTAAATATTAAAATAATAAATAAAAGTAAAATTTAAAAAAAAAGGGGTAAAGTACAAAAAACTACCTCAACTATTGGGGTCACGACAGTTTCATACCTCATCTTTTAAAATTAACAATGTCATACCGCATCTTAGAAATTTGTGACAATGTCATACCTCCATCAATTTTTTTGTTAAGTGCTGACGTGGCTTGATTTGGGACATACTTTCTATTAAAAAATTATTAAAAACTAAAAAAAAATTATTTAATATTTTTTAAATATTAAAATAATAATAAAAAGCAGAGAAAAAAAAAAACCATCAGTTTGTCCCTCCCCCCGCTTCCCCTCCTTTCTCTTCTCCCTATCTTCATTTTCTTTCCCCCACCTGTAAACCCAAAAAAATAAAAACAATTTGAAAACCCAACAACCCCTTGCAGAAGAACAAGAAGGAGAAGGAGGAGGAGGAAGAAGAAGAGGAAAAAAAAAGGAGGAAGGAAAAAAAAAATCCCCTTGTCGGCGCGGAAGAAGAAGAAGGGAGAAGGAGAAGGAGGAAGAAGAAGAAGAGGAAGAAAAGGAGGAGGAAGAAGAAGAGGAAGAAAAAATAAAAAACAAATTTGAAAACCCATCAACACCCCCCTGCGGAAAAAGAAGAAGAAGGAGAAGGAGAAGGAGAAGGAGGAAGAAGAAGAAGAGGAAAAAAAAGAAGGAAAATTTTTTTTTTTTTGAAAACCCATCAAACCCCAAATCCACCACTTTCATCCATTCTCCACATCCTCTTTCGCACCCATCCTCCACCTTTTTTGCGCACCCATTTTTCCGCTGACGAGATCTGGGTTTTTTTTTTTTTGGGTTGCAGGAGGGAGAAGAGTGTGTGTGTGGGTATGGGTGCGGGTGTGGGGAAATTGAGTGCGGGTGTGGGGGGAAGACAAATTGGATTTTTTTTTATTTTTTATTTTTTATTTTGTTGGGATTTGCAGGTGGGGGAAGAAGATGAAGATGGGGAGAGGAGAGAGGAGGGAGGAGGGAGGAGGGGGAAGGGGAGGGACAAAATGAGAGTTTTTTTTTAATTATTATTTTAATATTTAAAAAATATTAAATAATTGTTTTTTAGTTTTTAATAATTTTTTAATAGAAAGTAGGTCACGAATCAAGCCACGTCAACACTTAACAGAAAAATTAACAGAAAAATTGACGAAGGTATGACATTGTCACAAATTCGTAAGATGCGGTATGACATTGTCAATTTTAAAAGATGAGGTATGAAATTGTTGTGATCTCAAGAGTTGTGGTAGTTTTTTGTACTTTACTTTTTTTTTTTAATTTTACTTTTATTTATTATTTTAATATTTAAAAAATATTAAATATTTTTTTTAGTTTTTAATAATATTTTAATAATTTTTTAACAGAAAGTGGTTCCCCTCTCTTACCACGTCAGCATTTAACAGAAAAACTAACAGAAAAATTGACGGAGGTATGACATTGTCACAAATTTGTAAGATGCAGTATGACATTGTCAATTTTAAAAGATGAGATATGAAATTGTCATGACCCCAATAGTTGAGGTAGTTTTTTGTACTTTACCTTATGTTTTATTTTGAGGAAAATTAATAAAAATGGCTTGAAAACTTTGAGTTTTAACAAAAATGGCAAAATAAAGGGTAAAGTGAATAGTGTAATAATTGACTTTTTAGTGTAAAAATGTGGTTTTTCGTTAAAGTGAATAGTAACAGGAGCTTTTCGTTAAAGTTCCCCTTATTTTTTTGTATACCGATATATTTTTACATTAAAAGGAGAGGAAATTCAACTAAGCCATGCAAACGACTTAATTTAGTAACAAATTCACCATCTATAAGATTCAAATCTTAGACCTCTCATAATACATGTTAAAATTTTGATGCATGATTATTATATATAGAGGTTACCCTCACCCAAACATGTGGAAGGCCTAATAGTCAAAATATGAGACACAGCCGATTTGGACAGATTCTTCCTCCTCATAGTATGCAACGATTTTTTTTTTTTTTTTTTTAAATCAACAGTATTCAACGATTTCATCAACGAACAATTAGAAATGCGCGCGTTTTGAAAAGGACCGTAAAGAAATGTAATCAAATCAATAAATCTGATCGTAAATATTGGAAAAACGTAAATGGCTAGATTCCCACGTTTGACATAGTCTTTGAATATTCGTTTGGAAATTTGGTGATGAGTCCATGGGAGTTCAGATTGTTAAGGGCAAGTTGGGGTGCGTCTCAGATCCGCCATAGATTCAGGGTTTGTCCTTCCGGTTTCTTTGGAGTCCGTGGGAGGTCAGATTGTTAAAGGCAAGTTGGGGTGCGTCTCAGATCCGCCATAGATTCAGGGCTTGTCCTTCCGGTTTCTTTGGAGTTAGGCCACGTGGGTTCTTAATTAATCATGTTTAAGGGACTTAAACGCTCATTAATCAGTTTCCCATCATCTTATACTTCGTCTCGGTCGAAATCTGGTTTTTTCAGAAGTTTGCAAGCCATGAGGTGAGTTTGATTCTTCCCACGTTGTTGCTGTTCTTTGAATTTTTCGAAAGTTGTTTCCTTTTTTCTGGGATTCATGGGTTATAAAGCGTGTGTGTGTTTTCAGTCAAAAGTTTCTTGGTTTTAGTTCGATGTTTCAGATCTGGCAAGCCACTGTGGATAATATTTATTGAAGTACATGACTTGGCATTGTTCTACTGGCCAATTGTAAATCCTTGATGTGGTTTTCAACCCAATATATAGCTTTCAGAGATGATTGACGAGAGCTCGTTTGTTAACAATCTCGCTTTTAGTTTTAGTTTTTTTTTTTTTGGTTAGAGATGGAAGAGATAGGGGGAAAAGAGAGAAGAAGAATTGTGGATGAATAATGGCGTGAGGGGTGTGAAATAAACGTATATAGAAAGGTACACAAAACGAAAGTAAAAACCGTGAAAGCAATTTTAAGTCGCTTTCACTTTCTAGTTTTTGTTTCATACATCAACCACATACCTTCCACACTTCTTCATCCCTCTTTTCCCCATGTATTTTCCCTCATATATCTAGCACAAACGTGAAAAATAAACACTAAATACAAAATGGTTATCAAACTATCCTAATTTGAACGTTTTAGAAAAATCATCCTTTGTATTTATGATTCACCTTGAATTTTGGAGTGAATACAATTTGTGTATTTATGACACAAGATTGCGGTGGCCTTTGTTCTAATGTGTGTCCTACTATGCTTGTATGCGTTCTTCATGGAAATGTACTCAAGAATTATGCTCTTGATGCAGCTGATTTCTGGGGCTTAGTTTCACATTGCATTGAGTCGTTGATTGTATACACTTTATCGCGTTAATACGTGTTCTTTTCACAGGACAAGAAAGATTTTTGGGATTTCTCTGTCTCTCTTTCTGATCAATTTGGCTGCTATAATGGAGCGTGCTGACGAAAATCTTCTCCCATCTGTTTACAAAGAAGTCAGTGAGGCTTTCAATGCCGGGCCATCTGACCTCGGCTATCTGACATTCATTAGGAACTTTATACAGGGATTGGCATCTCCCCTTGCAGGTGTACTTGTTATTAACTATGACCGCCCTTTGGTTCTTGCAATGGGCACTTTTTGCTGGGCCTTGTCAACAGCTGCAGTGGGTGCAAGCCGGATTTTCTCACAAGTTGCATTCTGGAGGGCAGTGAATGGCTTCGGATTGGCAATTGTTATACCAGCACTTCAGTCATTTATTGCTGATAGTTATAAGGATGGAGTGAGGGGGGCTGGGTTTGGGATGGTAAGCCTCGTTGGTTCCTTGGGCGGCATTGGAGGTGGTGTTCTGGCCACACTTATGGCTGGCGATCAATACTGGAATATACCGGGATGGCGATGTGCTTTCATTCTCATGGCATCACTAAGTTCTCTAATCGGGTTCCTTGTTTTTGCTTTTGTGATTGACCCGCGGACGATAGTTTCTGAATTGAGTTCTGATAGGTATGAGATGATCATTTTATCACTTCTGCACGTAATTTCATTGATTATATCAGTTTCAAATCCCTGAACAAATTGTGAAAGAGTTCACTGTTGTGTTCTCCGTATCCATCTTATGTGATGATTTGGTTCCTTTCTGTTGCAGGGAAGATTTGAAAATTAAGGGACCTGCAAGTGCAGCATCAGTTTGGCTGGAGTCTTGGACAGCCATGAAGGCAGTTGTTAAAGTGCGAACGTTTCAAATAATTGTTTTGCAGGGCATTGTTGGCTCACTACCCTGGACTGCCATGGTGTTCTTCACAATGTGGTTCGAATTAATCGGTATGAGCTACTGACAATTCTTTTCCTGTTTAGATTTTGCACACCATACTTCAAAAGTAGAATTGGTATGCCACAGTTAGCTTGTTATACATTGTTTGGTTTCTCATTCCTAACAACTCGAGCATTTCGGGTGCAACAGTTTTCTGGCATGGAAATTTCTTTCCTATTTCTCACTTATTGTAAATTTCTACGCATATATTTTTTTAATTTTGTAGTGTAATATATACTCTATACATCGGTGGAACTGTTTTGGTTCACCTTCTACCTCTCATTTGTTTGCTGAACTACGAACTTTTAGCTTCTACTTTCATGACATATGACGTCTTCTAATTCGTTTTGTTAGGTTTTGATCACAACAGTACAGCAGCACTCCTTAGTCTTTTTGCTGTTGGTTGTGCCATGGGGTCTCTTCTCGGTGGACTGATAGCAGACCGATTGTCACGAATCTACCCTCACTCAGGCCGTATCATGTGTGCGCAGTTCAGCGCCTTCATGGGCATCCCCTTTTCGTGGTTCTTACTCAAAGTCATCCCACAGTCAGTAGACAGCTATTACACCTTTGCAGTCACCCTCTTGCTGATGGGCCTGACTATCAGCTGGTGCGCTACAGCTGCAAATGGCCCTATGTTTGCCGAGGTTGTCCCTGTCAAACACCGAACCATGATCTACGCCTTTGATCGAGCTTTCGAAGGATCATTCTCTTCTTTTGCAGCACCCTTGGTCGGAATCCTTTCAGAGAAGATGTTTGGTTACGACGCAAAATCAGTGGATCCAATTAAAGGGTCTACGCGGGAGGCCTTTGCCTTATCTCAAGGGCTTCTTTCGATGATGGCAGTTCCGTTTGGTTTGTGTTGCTTGTTTTACACGCCCTTGCATCTGTTTTTCAGAAAGGACCGCGAAAATGCCAGGAACGCCAGTGTCAAAGAGGAAGAGATGAGGGGAGAACTCATTCTATAGTTTGAAGGAGCAACCAAGCGCATGAGACAACCATTTATTAGCCTCCCCAAGCCTTCAGCTGCAGTCCTGACCAGCTCGAGAAACCGCTTTGTGAACCGATACTCTTTTACTTCCGACGCTCAAAGATTTTCTGATAGCCAAGTAATTTTTTTTTGAGACTGACACATTTGTAAGGCTGATTAGGAGATAACGAATTGACACATTGGTAAGGCTGATTAGGAGATAACGAAACCTTTTGGGTATATGCCTAGCCTAAGTAATACATCATCGCATTAAAACTTGTCGAGATTATCTCGTGTCATTATCTTAAACAGGCTCATTAACAAGTAATGAAACTTGTTTATAGGCTCCAAAACTGCTATCTGAAATAGCATATCGCCATTGAAATCCTGTCACCCAGGCGTTTTCCCAAATGCAGTATTGTATGCTCAAATCACTGCTACCACCCTAGCATGTATACGGCAAACACAACCGTACATACATGTGCGTACAATGTATGGTCACGTGACGTGATCAATTACCGTCAAAATGTTTTGTGTGTGAGTGAGAGATGCCTTCAAGACAACAAGGTAATATTTAGACAAGACAAGATACTACAAAGCATTCCGAAAAGTTACTATGACGTACAATTTTAAGCCCCCAACTCAATTGATTGAAAAAGAAAACGCAATCTGCAACGAATATTACAACCACATCTGCATTTCGGGCGTTGATAGTATGTCAATTGGCGCTCTTTGGTGCTACCAAACGAAATCTATGTGCACCGGGGGAACAAGGTTTGCCCCACATACCCACCGGCCATGGCCCTTCTTACATTAGATTCAAACAACTTCGGGTTGTCTCTCAACACTGCAGCTGCATCACGATTTAGTGGATCTTCATAATTTGGTTCCTGCAAACGATAGTAAAGAGAAAAATAAGCAACATTCAGATACCAGATGGAAACAAATCACGTAGGGGTGGAGGACTATGAAGAGTCTCATTAGTACCGTGAAGAGATGATATAGTCCATAAATGATAGTGTTTATATTGAGGACAGGTTTCCAATCTTCTCGTAGGATGTTGAGGCAAACATTTCCTTCCAAGTCAATATTCGGATGGTAGACCTGTGAGTGGTTTGTAGTACCAATTACACGAAAATGTTTCATATAAGCTATCAAATAGGAGAAAGGGGCCGAGTAAAGTTAAACAAAACGAGGTGAAATTTTTATTGGCAGCTTTACCTTGGTCTTACACTTGACTTTTGGTGCTTCATGTGGATAGATAGGGGCAACTTGGAACGTAAACAAAAACACACCGCCTCTGCAATAACAAACGGAAAGATAACGTAAAAAACTGATTACTATGCTAATTTTACAAGACATCAGAAACAATACATATATAATATGAAACCTTCCAACACCATTGCTTGTTGTGTCCATATTGACTTCGTTGCATGGTTAACTAAAACAATGGTTTGCAGGCACTCACAATGTCCAGTGTCTCACAATTGTAAATTCATGCACACGTATATTAACAGACATATTTGCGTTAGAAAGTGTGTATGTGGAAACAAAAGAAGAAACCAGCTTCTCTTACAATTAAAAGGTGTCTAAAAAAAAAGACGTTCGTCAAACTTTTGCGCACAATATGTAGAATTCCTTACTTGTAATATCCTTCATCCGGATGAATTGTAACCTCAAAGTTCATCAGCTCATCCTTGCCATCAGGATAATGAATGCTACAAGATTTTGGTAAATTCAGCTCAGACATATCTGCATCAGAAGCCACAAGAAGTAAGTTCTGTTTTTATTAAACGGATAGGTAAATTTAGAGAAACAATACAACTCCATACATAGTCCAAAAAAACCCAGTAAAAGTAATTCAGCATGAAAATAAGTTTAAAGCGTGCATCCTTAACCAAATTATAGCAAATTTAGAATTACATGTTAAATTCAATCAAGAATGCTAGAAAAGATTCAGTTGCCATTCCATTTGCTGACACTTTATAATCAGACAGAAAAAAAAAAAAGAACGAAAAAAAATTATCTCAACTTCGTATATCAACCGAATGTGAGAAAAGAAGAGACGTTAATCCATTTGCTAAAAACTGTTATGTTCTAAATTGACTTAAAACTCCACCAACCTACACCTCTAAATAATTTTAATTATAGCGGAACCAAGGACCAAGGACCACTCATAAGCACCGTGTGCTTAAAATTTTAAGTTCCAGTCCAGTCCAGAATACACTCAAACTTAAACCCAAAATATTGAACAAGTGAACCATCAACAGTACTGAAACCATCTAACGGAATTGATACATACTGCTTAACAATCATCAAACGCTTTTTCGAAAAGAATAATGAAAATGAGAAAGTTTCAATTACAATAATAAAACATATCAACCGATGCAATCATTAAATAGAAGGAAAACCTTTGTTAAGACGCAATTTCCCAGCAGACTGCTTTGTAAATGGCGAGGCTCCAATGGCATTTTGTGCTCTCAGCTTTTCCTTTTCTTTGAATAGCCTAATCATGTCTCCTGAAAATGAAAACAGAAAAACACAATTACCCCCAAAGGGCCTAAATCTGTGACAGGGGAAAACAATGGCACAGAATATACAAGATAAATGCCAAACGGATCGATACACTACATAATGTCGAAAATAACCAAACGAACATCAAATTGAGTACACAGCAAGCAAGAAAAACATAATCAAGAAACTATAAGAATTGTTATACACTGGCGACTGGTCCGTTAATTCCTCCTTGTTGCCTTTGTTTTTGTTGTATTATTTTTTCTTTCTGGACCCTTCAGGGTTAAATGGCAATACTCAAAACCCTGTATCCAAGATGATAATATTCTCCAACAAAATTACAATCTCCTTGAAAATAATAACCCAAAAGTGATCAAACACTAACAAATTACTCCTTTTTATGATACCCTTTTCGAATTAAGTCCAGTTCTCTAGAAAATTCATATAAAAAAGTATCATAAATTCCTAAAGGGAAACAAAAATCAAATCTTTCTGGAATACTAAAACCCAATAAACCCCGAAAGTTTACAACCATAAACAACCAATCAGATGCCAAAACCCAAATGGCACAAATAATAAAATATCAAAAATTGGGGGAAAAAGTTGAATACTTAAGCACCAGATGGGGTTGCCTGCAAAATTTAACAAAGCGAAAGAAAAGAGACTTGCAGACGTATAAATATCGCGATGGGTATATGCTGACCTGGTTGAGAAGAGAAGCTCTGCAAAAGAAGAGTTAAGGATGGGTGAGAAGTGAGGAGAGGGAGAGGGAAAGGGTAGATTTGGAATGGAACGACCCGTCGTTTAGGGGTTCGGGGAACTATGGATGATCGATCGTCTCCTCTCCCTGGCTTTATGCCTGACTTATTTATGGACTCAGATACGTTGGCTTTGGTGTTGCTTTATTTATACGCTGTCTCTTTACAGAATCTGGATAAGGAAATGTTTGACATGCGCTTGCGTTGTGGATGGAAAAGTTTAATTAAAGAATTGTTTTGGATATGGGTCATTATTCATGTCATATACAACTTGAATAAATTTCCGAAAATCCCGAAACAAACCCAAAAAATCTCGATTCCAAACAAAAAAAAATTCCAAACCGAAAGTACTGAAATTTTCGGGACGTCATACCGAACCAATCCTAAACCATTCGGTACAAGATTTGGTATTACCTATTTAATAGTTTGGGAATTTCGAATGGAACCAAAACTATATATGTATGTATATATATATATATGTGTGTATATATATATTGTGCTACAATTTTCCTTGTGTACTGAAAACAACATCGATTTTATAGGTTGATCCATTTCAACTTTTGTCTCTTTAGTTTTGGTATCAAAAATAAGATACTTGTACGCAGGATATACAACGCTTACAATTTTGGGATGATTGCAAATGTTTTGGAGATACAAAAATGTCCTCACATTTGGCGGTTGGTTGTATATTGCCATGGCAGATTGACCAAAAAACTTGCAGAATAACACTGCAAGATCAATTTGCCAAAGGGCTTCGAAAGGTAATGTCACTAGTGTTTAAGAGAAACTGAATATGGTAGTAGAGAGCTGAGTTAAAATTTTCCATTACAAGAGTATCCTGCAATTTGTGAAACTTGTCAATACGAAGCTTCATCTATTGTTGTCAATATGTAAAAAGTGTACTTCGCCAAAGTCTGATCGGACTTTGGGGGAGGGTTGTCACACGTTTGATTCCATTGACCCTAATTACTTAACTATGTCAACGTACAAAGTATCCCAACAGTTACAGTGACATACATTTAACTGCCCCCAGGCTACAGCTCCGTCGATAAATTTTCTTTCCTTTTAAAGGATGAACAAAGAAAGCGCAATCTGCAATTACAACCCCACTTGCATTTCGAGCACTGGTACTGCGTCAATTGGCACTTTGGTGGTACCAAACAAAAGCTATATGCACCGGGGGAAGAACGTTTGCCCCACATAACCACCAGCCATAGCACGTCTTACATTAGACTCAAACATCTTCGGGTTGTCTCTCAACACTGCCGCTGCGTCATGATTTAGTGGATCTTCATAGTTTGGTTCCTGGAAACAAAACCAAACAGAAAAATAAGCATTCATATAGCAGATGGCAACAGATCACAGAGGACTATCAAGACAATCATTAGTACCGTGAAAAGATGGTACAATCCATAAATCACAGTGTTTATGTTGAGGAGAGGTTTCCAATCTTCTCGTAGGATGTTGAGGCAGACATTTCCTTCCAAGTCAATATTAGGATGGTACATCTGTGAGTGGTTTGTATCATGTACGAGACAATGTAGCATATAAATCAACTAGAAGAGATGAAACGAATATGGTTAAACAAGACTCGGTGAAATATATATGATGTGCAGGTCTACCTTGGTCTGACACTTGACTTTCGGTGCCTCATGTGGATATATAGGCACAACTTGGAATGTAAACAAAAATGTACCTCCTCTGTAACAACATATGGAAGAGAAGGTAGTTAATTGATCGTTATGCTTATTCTAAAACTATGCATGTACTTATTTTCCTGAACAACAACAATATATATATATATATATATGTTAAAGTGAAAAAAATATTGAAACCTTCAACACCACTGCTTGTATTCGTGTTGACTCCACAGCATAGTCAATGCAAACAATGGCTGCAGGACGTTCACAATGTTGAAACAATATATAACTGTTCTCCTGAGCAACAACAATATTGAATGTTTTCATGTTGACTTCACTGCATAGTCAATGCAGTGTCTCACAGTTGAAAATCCACAAATACATCTATATTTAGAAAACAATTTTGTGCGAGCAAGTATGTACATGTGTTTGTGAGTGGAAAACGAAGGAACCCAGCTTCTCTGACAAAGTAGAGGTGCCTAAAATTAGCATGTGGAGTCGTGGCAAAAGCTTTTATGTGAAAAAAATTTTGCACACAAAAAGCTGAAGAATTTCTTACGAGTAATATCCTTCATCCAGACGAATTGTAACCTCAAAGGTTCATCAGCTGATCCTTGCCATTAGGAAATGAAATGCTACAAGTTTTTGCTAGATTCAGCTCCGACATATCTGCATCAGATGCCACAAAAAGTGTTTTTTTTAATAAATGGTGGCCACATTTAGGAAAACAACACAACTCCAAAAAGCCAGTAAACACAACATCGAACTAGTTTAAAACCCTTTCTCCTTTAACAAAATTACAGATTTAAATAATGATTGATTCTAACACCAATTTATAAAATGGCAATCAAGAATGCTCGAAAATTCAATTGCGACTCATTTTTTGAAACTTTTGTAGTCAAAATGAAATTATCTCAACTACGTATATCTATCTGACATGAAAAAAGATACAAACCTAATCATTCTAGGGGTTAGTCATTTGCTAAAAACTGTTATGTTTTAGAATTGACTTAAGGCTCCGCCGACCTGAGAACCCTTTAATCAAATTTTACAGCATCACTAAGGACCAAGAACGATGTCCTATCTCACCGTTCAATACTACTCAAAAGCACCCTCGATTAGAAATTTAATTCCAGTCAACATACAACTCCTCATCAACCAAATGATTAAACATCACAACCATCTGACGGCTTTGATCCATAATGTCTAAAAACCAACAAATTGTTTCTGGAATCCGAAATCAAGGGCATGTGAAAACTAGACGATTAATTAAAATGTAAAAGTTATAATCATAAATCAAACGTCTCAAAGGATGTGACCATTAGAGAGAAAGCAAACCTCTATGAAGACGTAATTCCCCAGCAGATTGCTTCTTCACAGGTGACGCACCATTCGCATTTTCAGCAAGTTCTCTTTGCTTTTCCTTTACTTTGAATGGCCTAATCATATCTCCTGAAAAAGTGAAAAAGAACACAATTATCCTAAAAGTCCTAAAGCGATTATATATATGTGCTGCATAACAACAATCATGCTGGTCGACCAAAGCAAGCAGATCGATACACTGAAATTTCATGTGGAAACCTCGAAAATAACCAAACGAACATTAAATTTACTCCTTTCTATAAAACCCTTTTCAAATTAACACCACTTCTCTACAAAAATCAAATAAACAAGCATCATAAATTGCTAAAAGGTAAGCAAAAATTCAAAACCTTGCTCGAGAGGAACAACCAAGAACTAAAGCCCAATAAACCCCAAAAATTTACAGACATAATCATCAACCAATCAGAATCCAAAAACCAAGAAACCTCAATACTTTAAGTATCTACTGATTGGATTTCCTGGAAAAGATAGCAAAGTAACAGAAAGAAAGAAACTTGCAGACATATACATACATCTATATAATATACATTAAGTATATTGTTGAGATGAGTAGATGCTGTCCTGCTAGAGAAGAACCTGCAGAGAAGACGACTTTGTGGGTGAGCGGGAAAGTGAGGAGAGAGAGGGAGGGGGAAGCTGAAATGGAATTGAACGATGTCGTCTAGGAGTTCTGGGGGTAGGTTTGGATGATTTGCCTCTCTGGGGTCCACGCTGCCACAGGCGACAGAGTATTATTCGTGTCTCGCTTTATTTATTTCCACGCCCTTACTTTTTCTTGGAGAAGGAACGTGTTTGGAAGCCAGTCCACCGCTCCACCTCTCGTGATTTGATCGTAATGTTATTGTAAAATAATTTTTGCAGATCATATTTGTAAATTATTTTATAAAATAAGTATATTAACTAACAATTAACTAATATAAAAAGTATGTCAAGTGCTAATTTATTAACTAATATAAAAAGTATGTCAAGTGCTAATTTTGAAAATTATGTAATGTGTCATTATTGATTAATAGATAGTTAGTTTATTTTTTTTGTATCCAACTGTTATAAATTGAGAATGGGTGACAAAGAACAGTACGCCACGAGCTATTTATTATTATTATTATAAATTTATCGTTTATTAACATTATAACATATGAATCAGTAGAATCATAATATAAAAAGTTCTGAAAGAAAAAAAATGCTCATAAATCTTTGCTACAATGCGTTTTATGTTTGAATAATGAAACTACAAATTAAAAATTAAAAGAGATAGCTTCACTACGTTAATTTACAAAATTTGAAATTAAATTCTAATTTTTATATGAAATGTGATATTCACACTTTTTTTTTTTAACTTTTTACACATCTTTTAATTTTACTGTTAGATCAAATGAATTAAAAAAATATTAAAAGACAAAAATTAAAAGAAATTTTTATGAAATAAAAATGAATATGTAGATAGCACATTCTTTTTCATAATTAAGTGGTGGATTTTGTAATTAGGATTATTTCATGAAAAATAAAAAAGTAATATACAGTTTAGCACGTGCGAAGTCCTTGCGCCAAAACCGGTTTTCAACGGTCAATTACCATCTCTGCAAAACCCTAACCGCACAGATATCGAAGAAGAAGAAGAAGAAGAAGAAGGAAGACCAACAATGCCGAGCCTCTCCGTCTTGGTCACCGTCCTCACACTTCTCCCCTTCGTCTGCCTCTCATTCTCACCGGAATCCCCAACCCACCGCCGCCTCCTGGTGCTCCTCGACGACCACTCTCTCCAGTCCTCTCACTCCATCTTCTTCCACTCCCTCATCTCCCGCGGCTTCGATCTCGACTTCAAGCTCGCTGAAGACCCCAACCTCTCTCTTCAGCGCTATGGCCAGTACTTATACGACGGCCTCGTTCTCTTCTCCCCCTCCGCCCACAGTAAGTTCATCGATCAGAAATTCAGAAATCAGAATCACCACACTCTGCTTAATTTCTTGATTTGCGTTGAAATGTGATTTGATTTGGTTGGGATTTAAGGTTTTGGAGGAGCTCTGGATGTACAGTCCGTGCTCGATTTCGTTGACGCTGGGCACGACTTGATCTTGACGGCTGATGCCTCTGCATCTGATTTGATTCGGAGTATTGCCAAGCAATGCGGGGTCAATTTCGATGAGGTTTGTGTAAAATTTGGAAACTTGGTCCGTTAGGTAAATTGGAAAACAAAATCATTGCTGAATTTGTTTTAATATGGTGCAGGATTCGTCGGCTGTGGTTATTGATCACACCAATTACGCGGTGTTGGAGACCCAAGGAGACCATACTTTGATTGCCAGTGACGGTTTTATTCAATCGGATGTGATTCTGGGAAAGAAGAAGTTAGAGGTTGGTTTAATTTTCATAAAAGTAGGTTGTTACTAGATAATTTGTAGCTGCATATGCCCACATTGCTAAATTCTAACATGGGAAATGAAATTTATAGTTGTAAAATTGTTGCATTCAAATTTCAGCAATTTGCATTGTGCTTTAGATTATTATTAAATGTTAATACCAATTTCTTATATATTCTGTGAAACAGGCCCCTGTACTTTTCAAAGGGATTGCGCACTCATTAAGTGCTTCCAATAGCTTGGTAAGCTCCAATATACATTTTAAGTTCTAAACTTTTTTTCTTAATGCAGCTTAACCCTAATTTTTCTTTAAAGTTTATGCAATTCTATGGGTTTTAATGCCTCTGAGAATATGGATTATTGTTTTATATGGTCAATGGTATATTTTAGGTTTTGAAAGTTCTTTCAGCATCTCCTTCAGCATATTCTGCCAACCCAAATGCCAGATTGTCCCACCCTCCATCACTTACCGGATCTGCTATTTCATTAGTGTCTGTTCTGCAAGTAAGTTCTTTCTCTGTACTGGAAATAACATTTATCCATGATATGCTTGCCTCCACCCTTGAACCATGATGTGGAAGTCTGTTATGAACTTATGAGCATTGGACAATTTTCTTTTTGTTCCTTTTCACACCGTCACATGCCACATTGGTTATTTACTTATTCAAGAACGAGTTAGAATATGTGAGTAATATTCGATTTGTTCCACTTGATGGAGTGGATTTGAAATCTTAAAATGCAGGCCAGAAACAATGCTCGAGTTCTGATTTCCGGCTCTACAGATATGTTTAGCAACGAGTATGTATTATAATTATTATATGGATACATTTGTCACTGAAGATTTCTGTGGCATTAGTTGATTTTTATTGATAAAATTTTCTTGTGATTTCTGCATGTAATTCAGATTGTTCAGATCGGCTGTGCAGAAGGTTGGGAACTCAAATAAGTGAGTAAAAACTTCTAACGACCTTTTTTCTTCCTATGGTCCAGTTAATTTGTTAGGCTTTTGGTTATAGGTTGCTTTCGTCATACCTATTACCTACGTATATTTGAACACACTTTAAAGTTGGGAAACCTAATTTCATTTAGATTCTCTCTAAAGAAAAGAAGTAGTTTATGTGATCTGAAGATTCAAAGAAGGCTTGCTGTGAATACTTTTGTAATCTCATGTTCATTCTCATGGACTCATATTTCACCTATCCTATTGTTTGTGTTGAAAGTGGTTGGATACTAACTCAATGGTGGCTTGGTCAAGGCAACAAATTCACATTATCTTGAAACTTTTGATCACAGATTTGAGAAGTCTGGTAATGAACAATTTGTGACTGAACTTAGCAAATGGATCTTCCATGAAAGAGGTCATCTAAAGGTAATAAATCATGAATTATTACGGTCTAAATGGTTTTCCATCTTTTTTGAGCTCAAAAAGTTAAATGAAGCTTTGAGTTTGTGATCCAGTTATCAACTACAATTACTTTCAGTTTCTATATGATATGTTTAGGTACTTATGATCTTATCTCCTTGTGCAATGGTCTGTTTTGTGTAAATTCATGGTGTTTATTTCCAGGCTGTCAATGTTAGACACAATAAAGTTGGAGAAAATAATGAACCTGCAATCTATAGGATTAACGATGACCTGGTAATGCCTCTACACTCTGTCTAGTGTAATGGTCTGTCGTGTACATTTTTCTGATGTTATGATTTATAAGTAGCCAGAATTATCTGAAATCGTTTAGTCATTTATATTTGCAGGACACTTATATTGAGATATATGAGTGGTCTGGAAAGAGCTGGGAACCGTATGTGGCGAATGATGTTCAAGTGCAGTTCTTCATGATGAGCCCTTTTGTGCTAAAAACTCTAGAAACTGATCAGAAGGTACTCTTGCCACAAGGCCATGTTTGGACTTGGTATTGTAACTATATAGAATTTTCTTTTACAAGTATACTTGGTTTTTCAGGGTCAGTACCATACGTCATTCAAGGTGCCTGACGTTTATGGGGTTTTCCAGTTCAAGGTTGACTATCACAGGCTTGGGTACACTAGCTTATCCCTATCCAAACAGGTCAGCTTTTGGCTTAGACGCCTTTCTACTTTCCTTTCCTTCTCGACAAAGAATTTTGACTGTTATCATGGCTTCATAAGTTTTATGAAGTATCTGTGTTTCCACTACTGACTTAATCATATTGTTTGAGAGCTGTAGTTTTCATTTTGTGATTGCTTATATAAAGAACGAACGAATAAATTTTTTGAGTTCCCATGAAACGAGGAATCTATCAAATAGTTAGGCATTTAAGTGACCATGTCATAGCTGAAACTAATAAGATAAATACAATGTGAAAATGCAAACATGATAGTTTGATACTGGTCATTGCTTGCTGTGGTGGGGGGTTGTTAAGGTGCTCAACTGCTAATATAGAGAAACATCATAAGATTTGAACAGTGGTTGTCTGAAATTCTAAGGCTGTGCCACCACTGTCTTAACCTTAAACTTGTAGATAGTTGGAAGTAAAAGTTTAATCATATTGCGGTCTCTATGATAGATTTCTCTTTTTTTTTTTTTTTTTTTTTTTTTGGGAAAATGATAAATTTCTTCGATAAAACCATGAATGTTATTGTTATTCTATGAGTAGTGCATTCATTTTTTAAGCTGCTAAAAGTTAGCTCACGATTAGTCACTTCTTATATATTACCTTTGTCAAAAATGTTAAATTGCAGATTCCTGTGCGGCCCTTCCGACATAATGAATATGAACGATTTATCCCCACTGCTTTCCCCTATTATGGAGCTTCATTTACCACAGTACTCTCTCTTTCTCTCTTTCTCTTTCTCTCTCCCTCTCTTGTGATCTTATTTCTCGATAAGTCCGCACCAACCGTTTGGTTTCGATTGTGCAGATGGTTGGGTTTTTTATCTTCAGCATTGTCTTCATGTACCATAAGTAAACAAACTGCCAATACAATGCACGAGGCAACTTTGCATGGCGCAGATCCTCCGTTTTTCCTGTTAACATTTGTTGAGGGACTTCTGATAGTTACATAGAAGGTAGGTATGGCATCATTTGACAGTAGTAAATTTCAGTTTTTACTGTTTTACTGACCTTGTAACTACAACTTGGCGTTATCCCAAATGCTGTTTTCACTTGGTCGTTTGTTTGCCAGTGCAAAAAATGAACCAGCATCCACAATGTAGTTGGTGTGGATTCGCTTCTACTTGGATTGAAAGTTGCATCGATTTTCTTCTTTTTTTCTGTTTGGTCCATTTCTTCTGCTCAATAGTTTTCGTGTTATGTTTGTGTGCCAAAAGGTTTCGAACTTTGTTTTTAATGCTATGTTACGACAAAAAGTGACCAAGAAATGTATGGTCACGTGATCAATTTTGAGTTTGTATCAAGAGTGGAGATTAAAATGATGTGCTTTTAACGTTTCAATCTCAATCCTTGATATCAAATTCAAGGGTGGATGAGATGAAACATTTTGGTCAGAATATGTCGGACTTCTGGATGGGGGTCCGGTTGGAACTAGGGGATTCTAATTCCATTTCGAAAGGGAATTGTTATTAGCAATTCAAAAATCTCATTCTACACTCCAAACTTTCTATAATAGAAAGAAAAATACACTTATGAGGAGTGTAGAATAAGATTTTTGGAGTGCCAATAACATTCCCTTTCGAAGTTGTTTTAGAAATTCACCATTCATTTTTATTATGATTTTCTGGTAGTTCAAGCTTGAAATACCAATATGTTTCCAAATTTTAGGATGCATTTCAATTCTATTTCAAAATTTTCCAGAATTTTTGGAATTTTGAATGCAAAATTCGGTTATGGGTATAGCGATATTTGAAATTTTTAGGTCGAAATTAGTTGGAAGCTTTACTTGCCATAATAATGTGGTTTAACCTTGCTTTTGATGAGATTCGAACTTAACATTTCTTATTTACAAGTAAGAGGAATACCACTAAATTGTAGTAATCAAATATATATTAAAAAAAATATGAAGGTTGTTAAATAAAATAGCATGGGAGGCATGGGGTCAGACCCTGTACAAATTTGGTATGGCTTTGGGGCTCCGAATGGTTATTGTTGAATCTAATTCCTATGAATCCATTTCCTCTCTTTTGGATTCGCTGGAAAATGACAGATGGGAGGCCTACCCTACCTTACTGAAGGTTAAAAGGCTAGTAGAGTCTTTCCAAGACTGTCACTGGTCTTGGACTCCAAGATCAACTAACATGGCGACGGACTCGTTGGCGTCACAAAGAAGTTCGGAGATGTGCGATGTTACGTGGGTCAACTAGACTTGTAAACAGGTTGGTTTTATTTGGGTATGGGTCGGGTTGCTGATCAATAAACCAGGGGGTTGCCGCATCCTCACTCAAAGAACCATGTAGAAACACATTTTGAACATCAAATTGATTACATGCGTCTCCAAATCTTAACATAGATCGGGCAATTGTTTAAGTAAAACATAGTAATTTTCTTTCTCAAGTCTCAATCAATGTCTTACTACAGAGTCTACAGTGGCTCTATTTCTTCTTGCATTGCATGATTGCATTCTCTCTACTTTTTTGCCAACCTTCTTCTTGCATTGCATCCTCTACTTCTTTTTTGCCTTCAACATTCACCTTAAGTAAAATTTCCTTGACAAGTGAAATTTCCATTAGTAAGAAGCTTGTCACAATAAAAGTAAGCATTAATCTTGCACAATCCATCCTAATCATTAAACATCACACAAAAATGTCTTTAAAAGAACAAGTTAAAATACATACCATGCTTAATCAAGACTAATACTATTGGAGCATTGTCCCGAGTTTTCGTTAAGGCTCATGTCAAAAATTTCTTCAGTGAGTTCTTCCAAGTGAACACCCTATTTCTCTAAAGCTAAACCTAAAAGGAAAAAAATGAAAACAATTATAACCTATTATATAAGGAAAAAAGTACAAAGTAATATAAAATTTACCTTCTTTGCCAAAAAGCCAATCTCTAGTACATAGCAAGGCTTGAACGGTTTCAGGCAACAAAGAACTTCGATATTGATCAAGCACCCTACCACTAATACTAAATACTGATTCCGAGGCAACAGTTGAGATAGGAATTGTTAAGACATCAAAAGCCATACAAGAAAGTACAGGATAACGAAATTGCTCCAGTTTCCACCAAGAAAGAATATCCAACTCTTGTTTTCTATCAAGTCTCTTTTCTTCAAGATATAGATGTAATTCAGTTTTTTCAACTGAAGTTGACCTATCTTGGTAAATATTATCAAATTCCTACATATAAAAATAAAATAGAAACAAAGGCATCAACGTACAATATAAAGATGCATATAAAAAGTATAAAAAGAGGAATAACAAATATAAATACTACCTCAAAAAGTTTGTCTCCAACTTTTATTTGAGTAGGAGTTTGATTAACTGGATTGGATACAAGAAGATGAGAGAACTCGTCCATGTACCGAGCAAAGAGTGCAAACAATGTGCCACTAACATCCTTCAACTTTCTCAACTCCTTACCATAAAGCTTGTCATAACCCCACTCTACAAATTGCAATTTATAGCGAGGATCAAGAATCACTCCAATGGCAAGGATCAAACTATACTCTGACCAATACTTTTCAAACTTCAAATTCATATAACTCCCCATTCGTCTCATGAAATCATCACAATCTTCCATAGCATTTTGAATACAATAATGGAATTTGAACACTTTTGGGAAGAACAAGTTTGATGTAGGGTAATTTGTTCCAGAAAATAAGCAAGTAACTTCATAAAAATACCCCAAGAAATTGGAAATCTTCTCTATTTTATCCCACTCTTCGAAGGAAGGACATGAACTAAAATTAGAATCAACAAGTGCCAAAATGAGAAAAGCACAACGATAGAAAATAGCACTATCAAGCATTGTATATGTTGAATTCCATCTAGTAGGCACATCTTGTCTCAACCCTCTTTTACTACCTGCCAACCCTACTTGTGCAACGCAAGTTAAAAACTTATTTTTTCTCCCTTCTGAACACTTTATATATTTGATGCACTCACGAACTTTCGTCACTGATCCATCAATTTCCTTTAGTCCATCTTGGACTATCAAGTTTAGGATGTGGGTACAACAACGAACATGGAAGAACTTTCCATCCATTAATAGCAAACCTCTAAAATTTAATTGTTTCTTCAATAGCTCAACTAGAACAATCCTTTGCAGAGGCATTATCCAAAGTAATGGAAAACAGTTTCTTTTCGATCCCCCACTCAACTAATAAGGCGTTAATTTTTTCAGACAAAGCAACCCCGGTATGTGGAGGAGGCATATGATAAAAATTTAAGATTCTTTTGTACATTTCCATTCTTTGTCAACAAAGTGAGCTGTGAGTGTGAGATATCCATCAGTTGCAGCAGAAGACCATAGATTAGATGTCAAACAAATTCTTCCCTCAATTGTATTTAACCAATCTCGAAGTCTTGTCTTTTCATCTTCAAACATCCTCAACACATGTTTCTTAACGGTATTTCTTCAGGGCAGTTTGATATCAGGAGATATGTATTTAAACAAAGTTCTAATGCCCTCATATTCAACAAACCTAAAAGGCAAATCATGCTTAACTATAGCCTCAATCAATAGCTCACAAAAACTAATATGGTTAAATTGAGGAGAACGCAATCCAACTTGAGATTTCTTCATATCAATGTGATGCTTTTTAGTACACAAATCCATATGATTCAATAGGTTTTTCGTCCCACAATTACTATCACATACGTAAACTATCCCACGGTTTTTACACTTCACATGTTGTTTATTATCAGGACCAACAGGCAATTCTTCAAACAAAGTCCAAACACGGGATCTCTTTTGATGTATCTTACCTACTCGTATACCTTTAGCCTTTCTCTTTGAAGGACTTGGTGCACTTGTTGTACGTTGCGTATCACTTAGATTGATTGTAGCCTTAGTGTTCTCTTCATCAATATCCATTTGCACTAACCATAAACGAATAAACTGTGTGAATACCAACAGAAAAATGATGAAAATTACTTCTCTCAAATCAGCATATGACTACTAACAAGCTGAGATGCAATTTGAGAGCAAAAAAGAAAACACTACTATACTCAAAGAGAGCAGAAAACTTCATGGCTTAAATATCATTGCCACTGCCAGTTCTCGATCCACAATCACGAGACAGTGCAAAATATAAAGTATGACTTCAAATTAATTACTAAAGTTCAATATAATAGAGGAAAACAATAAACATCCAACCTAAACTCTAGAGTCTCAAGTCTGGGTAATTCAGTACAGAGTCTCAAGTCTCAATCAAATTAATTACTAAGCAGTAAGCACCTATGAATATAAGAAGCACCTAAAAGGGAAACATTTCGAAGGCCAAGAGAAAAATAGAAGGAAATATATAAGTATGAGCAGGATGCCTACACAGGGAGGATATAGAAACTTACTGAGCAGTAACTTATGTTGTTCGTATTAATTTCAATAAAACCAAACAACAACAACAACCCAATTCCAAACCAAAACAAAGCAAACTCAATACTTTTAACTTCATGAGCCTCAGAATCTCAAAACATGAGCCTTAACAAATTACACACCTCGGCATTAACGAATCGCAAAGCATTTCTTCTTTCATCATCCAAATTTCACACCTCAGCATTAACGAATCACAAAACATTTCTTCTTTCGTCATCCATTACTTTGAATCGATGCGAAGAAATAGGTAAATTGACAGCTCCAAATTACCCAAAAATGGAAATTTTAATCGAAGAATATACAAATGAACAAATTTTACACAAAACCCATGAACAAAAAGCAAAACCCATTATCCAAAACACAACAAAAAAATTAAAAAAATAAAATAAAATAAAGAAAAAGAAAACCAAAGGTGGAAGGGAATGAGCACAACCCATGAACAAATTTCAGTATGTATATTGTTACGCATGAAAGAAGAGGTGGAAGGGAATCAGAGCTTACTAGAGAGATAGAGTGATGGAGTCGGAAGGGAAGGAGCACAGCGATGGCCGATGAGCGATCTCTTAGTCTTAGAGAGCAAAGCCGTGCGACAGTGTGCGAGAGAGAGACGTGAGGAGCCTGAGCGGCTGAGCCTTGAGGGTTTTCTATTAGGATTGTTGAAATTACACAAAAGTCCTCAATAACGGGGCCTTAACGAGTGGTTAACGGGTTTCACAGGTTCACCCAAAATGACCCGTTATTTAATGGGTGATTAATGGGTTGACCCGTTTATCACCCACCCGAATACTAATTTTAACGGGTCAGGTGAAAAATGCCAGGTCTAGGGTCAACAGACCCCCATCTTTGTTAGTTCATGTGCTTCACAATGATAGTTTACCTTGTCCTCCTTAATGTTGTGGAGGCAGTGGAGGGGGCAACGCATTAGCTTGGCTAATGCGTCTTTCTTATAACTCCCTCTACTGCTCTATGTATTTCTTTTGCTTTGTTGTCTGCTTGCCTTGTTGTAGGCTCTCCTTATTATATTTGGCATCTTTGCCCAAGTTATGAATCTCCCAATTTCCAAATCAAAAACAAAAAAGATGCATGCAGGATAGAAATTGGGAAAACGCCAAGAGGATGTAACGACTCTTCTCGCTGTAACATGTAACGCCTCCTTCTAACAAAATTACAAATACAAGAGATTATTCAGCAGCAAATGGATCGTTTCATGGGTGTTGCCATTTAATTTTGTACAGATTCAAAATAATATTTTCTTTTTTGATTAATGCTTAAAGAATCCTTTTAATAACTTTTGCCACTTAGTACTACGGTTTATTGGTATTCCTCTTCACTTGTAAGTGAAAGGTCTTAGGTTCGATTCTTGTCAAAGGCAAATTTGAACCATATTATTGCGAGCCCATTGTGAGGCTAAGTTCATCTCTCTCCCTCTTAACGTGGATAATATCGTTTGTTCACAAAAGTTGGACTTTTCACCGTATGTTTTTGCTACAATTTTTATAATATTGAAATGAAAACTAACGTTAAACAGTAAGGTAGCAGATAGTCCATAAAGAATTCTAGTTTTGAAAAATGGAAATGTATACACAATTCCACTGGTAAAAGAGGGGTAATAAATAGGATGAAGTTTGTAATTAATACGGTATCTATTAGTTTGAATAAATCAAACGAAAAATGACAAACAAAATAAATAAAAACGTATAGAGGAAAAAAAACATAAATGAGTTGTTATTATTTTTCTGATGTAACTTAGAGTAGTTTGAATCGTGTGTTCAAAATATAGGATGTCAATTGTGTAGATGCTTTAAACACAAAAATAAGGGTAAATTACATAAAACTACCTCAACTATTAGATCATTAATAGTTTCATACCTCATCTTTAAAAAGTTTCAATGTCAAACCTTATCTTCGAATTTGTTGCAATGTCATACCTTCCATCAGTTGTCTGTTAATTCCTCTGTTAAATGCTGACATGGTTTGAGGCGGGGCCCTTTTTTATTAAAAAATTAATAAAATAATAATTTACCCTTAAAAAAAAAACCAGGTTGTTTCCTACCCCTTCCCCATTTCCCCCCTTTCCCTTCTCCCTACAACCCAAATCCAAAACCTTTCCTCCGCCACCTCTTCGACTCCCCCTCCATCCGTTCTTCTCCTTCCCTTCCTCTGTTCATCTCTTCCCTGCCTCTCACAGGCTCAAACCCGACCCGATCCCACACACTCTCTCTCATTTCTCTCTTCTATAAACTCAAAAAAGCAAACCCCAAACTCTCCCTCTCCTGACCCGCCTCAACTGCATGTCACCGATGCCGAGATTTTGATCAAGAGCGGTAGGTGTACTGAGGAATTTTGCAGGTTTTTTTTTTATTTTTTTATTTTTTTATTTGTTTGTTTCTGGGTAGAGATGAGAAGATTGGGGGAGTGGGATGAGTGTGGGCAGGGAAGGTGAGGGAAGACGCGAGCTGGAACAAAATTTGATGGGGATAAGAGGTGGGGTGATGGGTTTGTAGGGAGGGACGGAGATGAACGGAGGGAGGGGAGGAGATGAAAGGAGGGAGGGACGGAGATGAACGGAGGGAGGGGAGGAGATGAAAAGAGGGAGGGAAGGAGAGGAACAGAGGGAGGAGGATCTAAGTCGAAGAGGTGGCGGAGGAGAGGTTTTGGATTTGGGTTGCAAGGACAAGGGGAAGGGGGGAAGTGGTCGGGGAACAACCAGATTGGGCACGGAAATGTTATATACATCTCCATAACCACGAAAACTAACCATATCCATAACCGCAAATTAACCATTGGGTATTATCTATAATCATACCCATTGGGTAACGGATTCACCATTAGTTAACAGTTATATCCATCTTCATCAATAAAAAAAAAAATATTCATTCAATTGACGCATGATAATTTAGTAAATATTAATTTCATCATTAAATATTAGATGTATAAAATGATTTAATGAATGTATCTTGTGAAGCATAAAAATTAAAGCTAAACGTTGATAATGTTGGTTTGATCTTTGATAACTTCCCCTTGAATTCTCATAGATTTTGATTCATATTAAAACTTTTGAACTTTTCCACAAAATGCAACTTACACAAGCAATTTTTGTATCTTCAAGGTAATGGATTCGGTGAATAATAAATAAATAAATATATATATATATATATATTATTCAGTTCGGATTTAGTTATAGATACGGATTGGGAACCCCTATAACTATATCCAAAACCATAACCGAATAATAATCACGGTTTTTCTCCATACCCAAAATATACTCGAATTTTCATACCCAAATCCAATCAATTTGGATGGTTATCCACGGTTATTGGGTTTAACAGTTAGAATTGCCATCCCTAGTGTTATGTTTAGGGTCTGTGTAAAAAAAGAAAAATTTGTGTTGCATGTAATTATCAAATTGTCCACTTTTTTATTTTTGTTTAGTTTTGACAAGAGAGTTAGAATAGTAATTTTCTAGAGTTTTGGTTAACAAAGTTCTATTACTAAGTAGTTTAGATTAGAGATTAAAGCTAAAAAATTATATAATAAAAATATTTTTTTTACATAGTTTTTAAGCTTTAATCTCTAATCTAAACTACTTGGTACTGGCTGTGTACAGGATTTTTCGCTTTAATATATTCTTTTTCTATATAAAAAAAATGAGGAACCGATCCGGTACATAATTATTTGGGTGGTTTTTTTTTTTTTTTTTCATTTTGGGCTACCAATTTTTTGTTGGATTTTTCGGTACTCAATTCAGGATTTTTCGTCGGTTTGGGATTTTGGGATAAAAATTATAACACTACCAAATATTAAGAAATAATAATAAATTGCATGTGCACATGTGGTATAATATTCTATTGAATAAAGTGCTAGGTTTCCATTCATGCATCCCGGATTCGAAACTTTTTCTCTCCTAAATTATTGTTAACAATCCTTCCGATAAACACTCGTATACAAATCCAAGCATGTTGCCGTAAAAATTAAGTCGCCACGCAAAACCAGGGCCAGGAAAAGTTTGAGAGGGAAGTGCCACTGCCACTGCTTGAAAGTAAAACATGAAAATATTGTCAAGGTATTAATAGGTTGTGAATCTGTTGACTCTAAAAATTACAAAACCTACGTGGCGCGCATGCCGCGTAACTAATAAGCTAACTACGTCCTTCGGTTTAATGCGAGGCGTGCCAACTCGACGGCCGAGCTCGGCCGAGGAGTAAAATTCGTTGATGTTACGTTGAGCGCGTTGTTGACTTCTTTATCTTGCGACTGCGACCGAGGAAGAAACACTCTCGGTCTTTGGGTTCTAGAGCCTGAAGACAAGGTTGCTAGTTCTGTGAAGTTCACAAATCGTCAGCGCCCAATTCGGTCACTGTGATTATATTCGTAAGAGTATAGGCACGTCGAATCGACACCAAATTATACGGACACAAGTACTTAAATGTGATGTATGTCTTAATGGTGAATGTAGTTCGGCCGTCAGAATGCCGAACTCTGAAACTCACTTGTGAGTATCCAATCATGAAATCACTCGTCGTCCAGCATGTCGAATAACGTAATTCGTAACACTTTATTATACCGAAAGGGCTAACAAGGTGACCTCTGCCAACAAGGATTCGAAAACCCTTCTTGTCCGAGTTTGATCGCCAGATCTCCGACCTCCAGCGTCAGATTGGTGAACTTCAACGGCAAAGGTCCGCTACTGCTTCAGAGCTTGAGAGGGATTTTGAGGCCAAAGAGCTCGGCTGACGGCCTTCGCTGCCAGCATGCGGCATATCCAGCAACTGCAGCTCAACAAGAAGATGAGGCAGGCTGAGATAATTTTGAGCGAATTGAAGTGGCTAGAGTTAAAAGCTGCCCTCGAGACTTTCCTCCTTTCGACCCCCTAGAAAATTATTTTTGTATTTGTTTACTTTTGTTATTAATACAATGGTATTTACTCTTGCATCTCCCACGTGACTGGATAGTACTTTTTTAAAAATTTTCCATTAATTGGCAATTTGTGAATTAAACTGGTCCGATCTCTAAGATGATATGCCCCCTTGCTGAGAACTTTGTGAACAATGAATGGCCATTCCCAATTCGACGACCATTTGCCAAACCTGGGGTCTTTAATCCCAACAGGCAACACCGTTTGCCAAACTAATTCTCCTTCGCCGAACGTTTTTTGTCTGACACGTTGGTTATACGCTCGCTCGACAATTTTCTTCTGTGCTATTAATAAGTTACCTGCGTCGATCCGATTTTCTTCCAAGTCTTCTAATTCTTGTCGCATAGCTTGACTATATTCGACACTAAACAAACTACTCTGCTCGATTACTCGTAATGAGTTTATACTCAACTCGACTAGTAACATAGCGTTGTGTCCATAAGTTAACGCATAAGGAGTCGTTCCAGTGGCCGACCGGGGTGAAGTTCGGTATGCCCATAATGCTTCGTTTAACTTCAAATGCCACAGCCCAGGCCTTTCTCTTACCGTTTTTTCGAGAATGCCGATCAACACTTTATTGCTTGCCTCAGCCTGCCCGTTTGCCTGTGGGTAGTACGGTGTAGATTGCTCAAGTCGGATATTCAGACTTGCCGCGTATTCTTTAAACCTGTCGGCCGTGAATATGGTGCCATTGTCGGTTATGATCGTTTCTGGCACGCCGAATCTGGTCACAATATTTTCCTCTACAAAATTGTATACCTCTTTGGCCGTTAGTTCGGTCTATGACCTTGCCTCGACCCATTTAGTGAAATAGTCAGTTGCTACTATTATCCACGCATGTTTTGCCGCCCCCGACGATGGCATGATTTTGCCAATTACGTCCATTGCCCATCCCCTGAACGGCCATGGTTTAGTAACCAAATGGAGTAATTCAGCCGGTGCTCTCTGCACCGGTCCATGAATTTGGCACGGTACACATCTCCATGCATATTCGATGCAATCCTTTAATATACTGGGCCAAAAGTAACCGTGTCGTCGAAGCAACCAGCAAATCTTTCGTCCTAATTGGTGAGCCCCACAAATTCCTTCATGTACCTCGACCATTGCTTGGGCAGCCTTGTGTGGGCCGAGGCACAATAGTAGTAACCCGTCCTCACCCTTGCGGTATATTTCATTTTGGTATGACACATAATTGGTGGTGAGGACCTTCGTTCTCCGATTGTGTTTCCTATCGGGGTTATCGAGGTATCGTAGCATCATCTTTCTCCAATCGTCTGGTTGCACCTCGACGGCACATACTTCTACGAGGTCTTCCCGTTCTAGTAGGGACGGGAGCGACATCACCCTTGTGCATATTACGTGCGTGCACCTGAGAGTTTGCCAATTGACCAAGGCTGGGTATAATCGCAGACTTATGGGTGTTACCCGGCCTAGCTTGCCCCTCGTGAGTTGTGCTTCAGAGGCAATCTGGGCGAGTTCGTCGGCGTCCGTGTTGTGAATATGCGAAATATGTTCAAATGTGATACGTTCAAACGACTCGACCAGGTAGGTGGCGACCATGTGATAGGGCGCTAAAGTACAACTCATGCAACGAAACATGCCATTGAGTTGGTTAATCACGAGTTCGGAATCATCGAGGACGAGAACGCGGGATGCTCGTAAATCGTGTAAAACTTGGAAGCCGATGATGAGGGCTTCATATTCGGCCTGATTATTTGTACAGCTAAAATCCAACTTGAGAGAAAAATACCAGCGGTAGTGGTCGGGTGACTGAATGACAATACCAACACCAGCTGAGGTCGAAGTACTGGAACCATCAAAATGCATAGTCCAATGGTTATCACGTGTTGTGACTAAACCGATGTCGACATCGCCCCTCCCCCCCTCCCCCCCAAAACCATAAGGGGAAGGGTGTTGGGCCAAGAAATCGGCGAGAGCTTGCCCTTTGACGGCCTTTTGGGGTACGTACTGTAGGCTAAACTCGGACAAGGTGAGCGTCTATTTCCCAATTCGGCCTTTGACGATAGGCCGAGTGAGCATGTAACGAATCACATCTGTTTGGGCGATGACCTGTGTAACAGATGGGAGCATGTAGTGCCGAAGTTTTGATGCGGCGAAAAACAAAGCTAAGCAAAGTTTTTCGACAGGTGAATAATTGAGCTCCGACGAATTCAGATTACGGCTGAGATAAAAGATAGCTTGTTCATGTCCTACATTGTTATCTTGCGTGAGGAGACAACCAATGGATTCAGCGGCTGCCGAAATGTACAGTTTAAGGGGTTTGCCGTGACAAGGTGGAATTAGCACAGGTGGTGTAGAAAGGGCCAACTTGATTTGCGTAAATGCCGTTTGGTGCTCTTCGCGCCATTCAAACTTGTCGGAATCTTTAAGTTTGAGGAGCGTAGAAAATGCCTTCATTTTACTAGCCGAATTGGCGATGAAGCGGCGAAGGAAATTTATCTTCCCGAGTAATGACTGGAGCTGCTTCTTTGTTGTCGGAGGTGGGGCGCTAATGATTGCGCGGACTTTATTTTCGTCAACTTCAATGCCACCATTATAGTAGTTTAGTGATTCAAAATATTGTACATAAAATTAAACAAAATGTCATAGTAATAGTAAATTCGTTCCACAAAATTTCTTTTTGCATCATTAGGAATGGAGTCGACGAATTAAACTCAGATTGGAAGGAAAGGCCAGAGTTGTTATGTGAAATGGCGTTATTAGAATGTTAGCAGGTAATTTGACCACCTCAAATGTTCCAATTTTCAACTAAAGGCTAAATCCCATTGCATCATATGCGACCATATGTGAAGGAGAGCGACTTGGTTGATAGACATCAAATAATAATGTTCTTTTTTCTTTTTATAAAGCACAAAACAAAAACATAATCCACACATTAAAGAGAAAGGGTAAAGAGAATATGTCAAAATGCATTTTTTATCTACTATCTGTCACCCCATTCAGCATTAAATTTTAGTTAAAATTAGTAATATGTCACTTCTTGAATGACAAGCCACTTTCCCAATTTCATCTCACCTTCCTTTTCCCATTTCATCTTTCTCCTGCATTATTCTGCACCATTGACTTGTGGGGTTTGCAAAGCCTCTATCTGTGGCTTGGCTCCTTCTGTTGGATTTTGCTTGGGTTTTGGAAATCTCTAACTTTCTGGAGGGTGTGGAGGATTGAAGTGAGAGATCTAATCTGCCAAGTTCATATTTTTCTTTGCGTTTTAAGCTGAATATCTGGTAAGCAAAATCCATCAAGTTTCATACTTTGTGCAGAAATTTCATCTGGGTTTTTACTTTTACTTTACCAAGTTAAAAATTTAGCTCTGGGGTTGCTTAGTATCTAGCCAAAGCTCAAATTTTTTAGTCAATTTTGCAGTTCTTCGACCGAATCATCGATTGGATTGGATTCCATTTTAGAGCACTTTGTTAGCTTGGCGAGCACTTGGTTTGCTGCATTTTCAATGCTTTTGCTAGATTTTAGATTTACTAGTCAAACATAGTTAGGTTTTGGGAATTTCACCCATATGATGGGAGGAAAATTCAGTAAAAACAAGGGTGTTGATGCCTCAGGAACACCCTCACCACCACCCCCACAACCACCTGAAACCCTTGAAAGCAATACCAATTCCCAGGACACTGCCGATTTGAGCTCCTATGAGGCAGCCTGTAAGCTCGATCCGGCCTTGCAATCGTTTGATGTCAATCTCCAGCAGCGGACAAGCCGTGTCATTCACTCGTTTTCAGATGGGCTGGAAGTTCGGTCCCTATCCCTTGACTCGCTCAAGGAGGTTACCGATTGTTTGCTCGACATGAACCAGGAAGTGGTCAAGTTGATTCTAGAATGCAAGAAGGATATATGGAAGAGTAAAGAAATGTTCTCTCTTGTAGAGGAATACTTTGAGAACAGTCTTCAAACATTGGACTTTTGTACTTCCCTTGAGCAGTGTCTGAAGCGTGCGCTCAATAACCAGCTGATAATTCAAGCTGCAGTTAAGCAGTTTGAGGAAGAAGTAGGGGCTGGGGCAGATGGGAATGGGTGTGCGAGAACCTTAAAAGAATTGAGGGCATTTAAGGCGGCTGGGGATCCTTTCACGGACGAGTTCTTTATACTGTTTCAGGCAGTTTATAAGAATCAGGCATCAATGTTTGAGAAACTGCAACTTCGTAAGAGAAAACTTGATAAGAAGTTGAAATCAGTGAAAGCTTGGAGGAGGGTGTCAAATGTTATTTTTGTTGCCACATTCATCTCTGTATTGGTTTTCTCTGTAGTGGCAGCTGCCATTGCTGCACCACCACTTGTAACGGCCTTGGCAGGAGCGTTGGCTGTTCCCATAGGTTCAGTTGGAAAATGGTGTAATATGCTTTGGAATAACTACGAGAGGGGACTGAAAGGGCAGAGGGAGATAATCGGCTCAATGCAGATTGGAACGTTCGTCACATTGAAGGACCTGGACAGCATCCGAGTGCTTGTTGACAAATTTGAAATTGGGATTGAATCGCTGTTGCAAAATGCTGATTTTGCTATTAGAGAAGAGGGCGTAGCTGTGAAGCTAGTGATAGATGAGATCAAGAAAAAGCTTGATGTGTTCGTGGAAACCATTGATAATCTAAGCCAACATGCTGATAAGTGTAGCCGGAATATAAGGAAGGCAAGGACAGTGATTTTACAGAGAATAATTAGGCATCCCAACCAATGAAGTTCCCTTTTGGTATGTGTTTCTGACCACTGTTTTCTTCCTGGAGGTCTATTAGTGAAACAGGTGCACCACCTTGGGTCAAATGAATTCTATATGGCATTTCTTAAAGGCAAAAGGTAGAGTTCACAATTTTAATTTTGTTTGTATCTTTTGGATTGAAGGAGTCACATTGTTAAGCAGAGTTATACTTTATGTTTAAAATTTCAAAGAAAGATTAAATCAAAAGGATTACTTACTACCTCATCTGTTTTGTTATTGCACTATGCACTAGAACTTGATGGACTTTACTTAGCTGTGAAAAGCCGAATATTTGGATGTGATGGTTACTAGGGGATCACTTTTAAGACATTCATATAGTTTGTGCATGCAAACACTGCGCCACCCTCTCACAAGAGTGGTTTTCTTCGCTGTTGTGCAGTTGATCCCACCACAGTGAAAGGAAGATACCATGTGCCTTGCACGTGAAAGAAATTCTTTCATTGCTGGAACCTCTGCAAGCATTATAACCATCTGGAATTTGGAGCTCTCTTTCATCAGTCTATCCATATTCAAATCAGTACCTGCTTAATTTGATACGCAAAATGAGATGAGCTTAAGAATAGGTATTTTTCTTGATTCTCTATCACATAGGTAGAGATAAAGATCGTCCATCTTCAGTCTGATATATATTGGACGGGCTAATGGGTCCAACGGCTGAATAGTAGATGCATAATGAAGGAGTTGAAGTTACACTTGATTTTATTAGTCAATAAGCTGAGAAATTGTGCACTGTTGAAACGAAGATAATTGTTTCATGATTTTGCTTTATTTGATTACATCACTTCATCTGTGAAATCTTGGGGACAGATTGTTTTATGGTTCTCAACAGTTACATGGTTAATGGATTTAAGAACTTATAAGTGAACGGATTTCTTCAGTTGCCATCTTTGAAACGTGTTGAGATGATATGTGTTTGTGAGGACCAATCCTTATTACACCAACTGCCTTTGACACTTCTGTTCATTGCACTAGATTCTCTTTGAAATAGTTAGTGATACTGTGATCAAGATTCGAGTTAACCAGCCAAAGGTAAAAGATGAGCATCGGACGAGTCAGAACGTTGGATGTCTTAGTTTACTCGATTCATCAAAGTGTTTGTAGATGATTGCAGGTAGTCGAAGGTTCTTCGAAGGCTTTGTTCTCAATGGAGTGGGTCATGAGATATAACTAGTCACTTAAAAATTGTAGTTAGCATCGTATGGATGGTCTATACATAAAAATGGTATGGTCTTGACAAAGTGTTTGATGAATCTGTTAATCGTGAAAACAATACTTTTAGTTTATATGATGTTCTGATTAGATCAATAGTGGTAGAATGGTACTGGTATTGTTAACACGTTATGAATATAGAGGCAACTTGAAACTCAAAAATTTACTGATAACCACGATCGTTTTCTATGTTGATGTATCAACAAACAACGGTGTGCACAAGGGAAATTAAACTTCTATTTGTATGTTGACGATTGCATTATTCTAAGCTGGCTGCTCTAATAGAATAAGGATTTGAACTCGAGTCCAAAGAATGGGTGCATTTTTCCCTGGCATAACTCACATTTGCAATATTATGCGTTAATCAAGCAAGTTTAAACCCTAAACCAAACTGGCAAAATTGGGTTTCGTCATGTTGGTTAGAGGGTTAGAGTAGTGTACTTTTTTCTTCGTCAGTACGTATAATTTAGCAGAGAATATCCTAGATAAAAGAAAATGTAAAAAACACCGTAATTCAAATTGGGCCCAAATATAAAACCAGTATCAAAACGGCACTATCTCATCTGCTACCAGCGACACAAAAGAGCGCGGAGACCGAACGCAGTTATAGTTAATGAATCGCTCCTCCCATGCGCAGTTTCTACAACCTCCATGGATTTCTCAAGCGCCTTGCAGCTTTCACCGCCGTCCACGATCACCAATGTCCAAAATTTTCCACCAAATCCATCCATTTCCTCAAACCCCACAAACCCAACAATCGAATTCCCAGAAAGAACACAAAAAACCATCCCAAATCCACTTCAAAGCAACAACCTTTAGACCCGAAGACTTACATGCGAGAAACAATCACAAACATATACAAAATCCTCAAATATTCGACATGGGATTCCGCTAAAGAACAACTGCAGAACCTTCCCATAAGATGGGACTCTTACACTGTGAGCCAGGTGCTCAAAACCCACCCTCCGATGGAAAAATCGTGGCTTTTTTTCAACTGGGTTGCTGGTTTTAAAGGGTTTAAGCACGACCAGTTCACTTACACAACAATGCTGGACATTTTCGGAGAAGCCGGGAGGGTTTCGTCAATGACCCATGTTTTCAAGCAAATGCAGGAAAAGGGGATCAAGATTGATGCCGTTACTTACACTTCTCTGATGCATTGGCTCTCGAATGCCGGAGATGTCGATGGGGCTGTGCAGACTTGGGAGGAGATGAGAGCTACAGGGATGTGCTCCCACTGTTGTTTCTTACACTGCTTATATGAAAATTTTGTTTGGTGATAACCGAGTGAAGGAGGCTACTGATGTATACAGGGAAATGATCCAGTTTGGATGTTCCCCAACTTGTCATACTTACACTGTTTTGATGGACTACCTGATTGGGACTGGTGAGTAGCTTTTGCTGTCGCATACATAGTGCGCTCTATGTGTTTGTTATAATGTCTGAATGGGTGATTGTTCGATGTTGGGGTCAGGCATGTTTTGTTTGCTAGGAAGGCGGATGTACACTGAAAGTTACCATTTTGTGTATATGGTTATACTAGTTGTTTACGCATGGTGTGTTGTTTGCTAAAGGAAGATAAGATTTTTCGTTATTGGTTTTGTTCTTCAATAAGTTATGCTACGGTTGTTGCTGCCAAAGCCCCCCGCCCCCCCCCCCCCCAAAAAAAAAAAAAAAAAACCACACAACAAGATGATGTGTAAATGCTTCGTTGCTTAGGCGTATTAGGAAAAGATATTATGTTTATGTAACCTTCATATTAATAGTTTCAGAAATGGACATATCATGCTATGATATTTATGCACATATGCACTTGGTGGGATACACGCGGACTCATCTTTGTGATGTTTCCCGCCGAAATATAGATAAAGTTACTCAATCTGTGATGGGTTTCAGGCAAATGCAAAGAGGCACTTGACATTTTCGGCAAAATGCAAGATGCTGGAGTACAACCTGATAAAGCGGCTTGCAATATTTTAGTTCAGAAATTGTGCAAAGCGGGAGACACATGGACAATGAACCATATCCTTTTGTTTATGAAAGAGAATCGCCTTGCCCTTCGTTACCCTGTATTTCTAGAGGCAGTCGGAACTTTCAAAATTGTTGGCGAGAGTGATTCCCTCCTCAGGCAAGTTCATCCGCACTTTTTCGTTGACTATGGCAATCAGGAGGCAAGTGAGTTTAGAACACCTGCTGCTGATGCTCTTGTGACAATTGATGAAGGGCTTGTACTGATTCTTTTGAAAAAGGAAAATCTTGTTGCCATAGACATCTTACTTGCTGGAAATGGAGAAAAGAAAATACAATTGGATTCTGCTATCACTTCAACCATCATTGAGGTAAATTGTGGACATTGCAGACTTGATGGTGCTTTATTGGGTTTCGAATATAGTGTGAAAATGGGTATAATCCTTGAGAGGAATGCATATCTTGCTTTGGTAGGAGCTTTGATCAGATCAAAGTCATTTCCAAAAGTGGTGGAGATTGTTGCGGAGATGATTAGGGCTGGATATTCTCTCGGAATATACTTTAGTACACTTCTGATACATAGGCTCGGGCGTGCTAGAAGGACACCTTGTGCATGCAAAAATCTTTAAATTACTACCCGATGATCACAGGTGCACTGCAACTTACACTGCCTTGATTGGGGCTTACTTCTCTGCTGGGAGTGCTGATAAAGGACTTCAAATTTTCAAAGCAATGCAAGGGGAAGGATTCCGTCCTTTCTTGGGCACATTCAATGTGTTGTTAGCAGGTCTCCAAAAATGTGGTAGAGTTCGTGAAGCTGAAATGTATAGGAAGGAAAAGAAGAGTCTGCAGGCTGATGGTGAGATTCAGGATGCTGTCCCTGTTGAGCAAAAGATTTGTGACCTTCTGTTTGCTGGGGATGTTGTCTCTTGATCCTATTCGGCATGCTGGGACTCCCATACTGATCATGCGATGCAAAAAATTGCCTTGCTGCTTGAGAGAAAATGTCGTAGATAAGGAAGCAGTTCTCCTGTAAACATGATGGTCGTGTATATGATAGCTACAAGAGTTGTCGATGGAAAGAAAGCTATACGATGGAAGCAATCAAATTTTTGCGAGGGCAATACTCGGTGTTCAGTTGCTACATCGAGGCAGAAGTTCTGCTGGTTAGCTCAGATGGCCAAGCAACAGGGGTTTATCGTCTTTTGAACGTGATGCAGAGTTCACGCACTTTTGAGTTGTCTTGATGGGCACTTAGACTTGTATGTAGGTTAAGGTTTAAGGCCTTGTAAACATACTTTTATCTGTTATTTTGCTTTATCCATGTACATTAACGAGAGGGATTATTTGGATTTCGTGCATTTTCTTATTTCTCTCACACATATTTTTGTTTTACAAGTGAGATTAGTTAAATCTCAATCCTACTAATAGAAATATAGCCAAATCTCAACCGTTCATTTTTAATTAAAAAAAAAATATGTGCAAGGCAAAGTTCAAGAACTTTTAAGTACCACAACATTAAGAAATTTATAGAACTGAATATAAAAATTAGGTATGTAATATGGTTTGTGTTAAAAAAAATAAAATAAAATAAAAGCTAAAAAGATTAGATAATTCAATACGTTCAGCTTTAACATTTTCATGCTGTAAAATGTCATGTTTCAAAGGTCCTTATTGTCATTCAATCATCTCCTATGTTCTTCGTGTACCGAATATGATTGGTAGTGTGTCCTGGTCAACACAGGTCAACCAATATTGCGGCAACATTGGTTTCGCTGGCATTGCTTAAACTTCGGGAATAAAATTGTGAGAATAAACATATTTTTGTCTGGGAAAACGGTTGGTTGCCATGGTGAATAAAACAACTAACTGCGTTCCAAATTTAAACCCTCTCATCTTCTCCTGAATGTAGATTTTCAAAAATATATGTTATCCGATATAAGAAAATCCAATTGGTTTCTCTATCAATGAGACAATTATTTGTACTAATATTGTTAGGAGGCTGAGGTTCCTTCCATATGGTATTGTTCCTGTCACTTTTATTTTATGTACAAGTTACATGGTTTAAGTGCAAATAAGAGAAGGAATAAAGCATCATGTACTCAATCAAAATTTGGATATTATTCTATACAAATAATGGGGTTATATTTTTTCTTGCCTCTCATTTTCATTAAGCAATAATGTCAACCATGCTGATCTATATATTCCCATGATTTATTTCATTATTTTTGGTGAGTTAATACTTCATTTTGCTATCAGATCAAAGCATATTCATTGAGATTTGGATTTGACAAGGAATTAGATTTTGTTGAAACAATCGAGTTTTTGGTATTAAGGGAGCTTCGTTATTGCCCTTCGGAGTTGAAGACACGGATACATAGATAGCATGTAGCATTACCAAAATGAGCTTAATCACGTCTCGTTTGGTGGTTGCGATTGAACAAGATTAAGATTGAGTCCGCTCATCTTTGAGAGGGGAACTTTGTACCCAATATGTTGAATAATGTCCAATTTGATCAATCTAGTTCCACCGTCGTTAAAGTCATCGCCAGTAGGAAAAGATAGTTAATCCTTTTGAATTGGTCATGTTATGTTTAGTCTTAGACACCAAACAAGATTAAAGAGTAAGGGCACATCTGAGATTGCCTTTATAGTAAGTACTTCTACTCATAAATTATTATATTATAAGTGCTTGTATTAGAGAAATGTTAAATTTTTATTAATAACGCATGTGATTTTTCATGTTCGAATTTCATGTCAAATGTAATATCATAGAGTTCTGATTGTAAGAAAGTGCTTTTAACCTTTCCAACCAAACATAGACTAAACTTGTTACAAAACCATAACATTGGGTGCTACCAATATTTTGACTCCAATTCCATCAAGGGAAGAACTAATAAAGTCTACAAATGCAAGTAGATTTAGCACGGGGCAAAAAATTTGGCCAATGAGGGATGCTAGTGTACCAAGTGGAGAAAGGATAACAAACTAAACCATAGAGAATCAAATACTCTAAAATTATTGAATTAAAAAAGCTGCAAATGTACAACTATATTTATATGTGTGTGCATCTTCTGGAACTCATATACGTTATTTGGTCGAAATCAAGGTACCAAAATATAAAAAGCAAATTGAATAGTGTGGTTCATGACTCTTTGACAGCTGTTAGGCTTGTGGACAAACATGATTACGTAGTTTGATTAAGCTAATCATTATTTTCGTTGCAACAATAAGGGTTTTGATACGTGACGATTTATTTGGTCGCACACGTAAATGAAGGTTTTGAGTAAATTAAACACCATTTTGCAACTCGTGGTTAATAATATGCAATGCATTGACTAGAAAATTGCCTAATACATGGAGTATTAGGCACATGTATTTGTAGTATAATTCAGATAATCATAATCAAACAACGAGGTGTTTGAGTATGAATCTGACATGTCGCTCACCAATATTGACGTAAATTATAAGTATTTCAATATGAGTGATTTTGTAGTATTATAAGTGTTATGGATAAGCACATATTAATTATTACGTGAACTAATTAATAAATTTACGAAAAACTAATTAAGATGGAGATTAGGACGTGTGGGAGACCTAAAAAATTTGACCAAAACCTAGTTTACAACAAATGATCCGAAGGACGGGTAAAAACATAGAATTTGACATATCTTGTATGGAGAAAATGTCCACCCCCAATTACTCCTATCAATTTACCTCATACTTTAAACATTTTTTTTTTTTTTTTTTTTAGAATGATTCAACAATTACCTGGTAATGTCCCCGAGAACCACAAGACTCGATTTCGGTTGAAATAATCTTATCAGCTAACCATTGGCATACGGATATTTCTCATGTTTGGATCTCACTACTTTACTGCTTGGTACTATATCCAAGCAACACTCGAGTTTACTTCCGATGTAATAGACTTATTGACTCACTTGTAAGAGTCAATAAGTTGAGGTCGGTGATTAGTTGAGATTGCAATCTCACCACGTATATGGCAAACATCACATAAGTTGATTTCGGATGAAATAGACTTATCAACTAATATACTAGCATTTGTTTATGTTACTAAGATTTCATAGCTACTTCTTCTAACAAACATAAGTATGTAATAAATTCAACTTGCGATCTCAACTAATCACCGACGATCTAAATTATTTGTACACTTTTAAACTAAACAAAGTAACAAACCAACCAAAATTGATTAGTAGATAATAACAAGGAAAAAGAGAAAAACTTCACATTAATCACAACTAATCACACCATCCTTTTTGGTCAAAAGGAAAATCCCAACTTATATTTTCGACCATAAAACTACCATTTTGCCGGCTCTCTCCTCTATTTATTTTTTTTTTTTTTTTTTTTTTCATGATATGAACAAAACCTCGGTCGTGAGCCTATGTGGCGCCACGTTTTGCGTGAACGTTTCTAAATTCCTAGCTGTGCCATCCAGCTTTTTGGGGCACCCAAAAAAATAGTAACTATTATCCAGTGCAGCCAACCCTAGTATTGATCCATGGGCTCCGAAGATAACGACGCCTCTCTAGCTTCCACGTGTTCATTACGCCACTCCACCTCGCGAGTCCACACAAACACCAGTCAACATCCATCAGCTAACTAAAGTCATCCAATCCGACCGTCAGAAGTCGATAAGGTCGCGTCGCTGGAAGCCAACCATCCACGTGTACGGTGACTGATCCACCAACCCCTGATCTTATCACCCGTGAACGCGGCTGCATTTCGCCGCATACGAGAAACTTGAACGAGCGAGATAAACTCGGGAGTACGCATAAAAAGAATATGCCCAGAACGTAAGGCATAAGTTCATCGGGACCGTGCAAATCGGATTTTCTCCCGATTTGAAATCTCGTGACTCGTCAAAAACTCGTGAGGGTTTAAAAAAATCGTGGTCGTCCCGTTAATTGGGACACCTATATAAAGAACCAGAGGCCTTCATCGTTGATGCGCTCAATAACCATTACAAAGCTTCAATAGCTCTCTCTCTATAATTCTCGCTATTTTCTCTCTAGATTATTACAATGGCGTTCAAGAAACCCCTAGCCGAGCGCCTGTTCAACATCTCTAAGGCGTCGACCCAAACCCTCAGAAACTGCCGGATTTCGTCGTCGGCGGTCCACACCCGACCCGCTCCCAAGCCCCGCGAGACCAGAATCGCCCCCGACCCTGGGGACAATGTCATTTTCCGAAGGTTCCTCCACAAAAGATCGTCGGCGGGGAATTTCCAGAAGCAGGAGATCTGGTCTTTGCCGATGGGGGCAAACCTGATGGAGAAGCTCAAAGTCGTGGCCATTGGCCGGGACCGGATCCGACTGGACGGTTTGGCCCCGCCGGAACCCGAGTCGAAGAGCTCGCCGATGGAGAAATCGGGATTGACGACGGAGGAAACTAAGAAACTGATGAGGATGGTCCAGCTGGAAGCCGTGAAATCGAAGCTTCGAGAAGTCCAGAAAAGCTGGATATCGTATCCGGAGTTTGTTGGGATCTGCCGGGAAGGTTGCGCGGATCCGGATATGGGTCTCGGGTTTGCGAAATCGTTGGACGAAAACGGTTCCGTGATCGTATTGGGAAATTCCGTTTGCTTGAGGCCTGAACAGGTAAAATTAATATCTTCATTCATTAATCCAAATTAAATATCGTTAATTATTTTATTCGAATTTAAATGAATTATTGTTGTTGTTACGTTTAAAATTTTGTGGTGTTTTCAGATAATTGTTGTGATGGGTCTTGGTCGGTTGGCCGAGAGGGTAGAATTAAATTTACGATAAGTGAATTTATTTTACTGTGATATGGGAAATGCCGAAAACTGATATAGTTTTTTATGATTATTTTGTTTTCTTCAACAGGCAGAGACCTAAAACGTGAAAAGGGTGTCAGTCTTTCACCGTGGCAGATTTTTGTTTTTCACCCTTGGGGCTGTTAAAATCCCATTTCACTCTTTCGGGAGACTACAGTGAATTAAAAAAATTTAAATTAACAAAAAAGAAAACAAGCAAAATTACATTTTTGTTGGGTGGGTTGTTCTAGATGGACCTAGAAATTTAGGAAATTTCATTGGATGTCATTACTATGGAAGATTAGCGAAAATTCTATTATGCTCTGCGGTATCTTATAGGTTAGGTATGGATGAAAAATAGAAGGAAATTAAAAAAAAAAAAAAAAAAAAAAAAGAGAAATAGTTTCCTCAAATGAGAAATTTAGTGGGTGTTAGTGTCTTGGTTGGCATAAAGTTTTTTCTCTTTTCTGGGGGTGGTGGTAATGAGAAATCTAGGAAATTTCATTGGATGTCATTACTATAGGAGATTAGCGAAAATTCTATTATGCTCTGTGGTATCTTGTAGGTTA